CTGGAGCTGAAGAGGCAAAAGTCTCACCATCAACCACGAAACGTCATTTGGGGTATGCCCTGTAAGAAATGCTCTGGCATAATCCGACACGTAACGTAAGGTGCTTTTTGGTGTCGACGAAAAACCCTCCGGCCTCCGACTTTTCCCTCAGGAAGTCTCTTGCGAATCATGGTGTTGCCGTTGACGCCGTTGTTCCTGGTCCTGGTCTGAGCCAAGGAACATAAATCTGTAGAGTGTTTCCAGCCTCTGCTTTCCTGTTCAAATGCTCTAACCCATTTGATTGACACCATTGACACTAGTGTCGACTGATGTTGGGTTCAAGCCCTGCGCCAAGAGAAAGGCCATCTCGTAGATACAGATCGGCCAATTCCACAACACTAGCTTATTGATAGCCCTTCTCGTGCTCAAAACAACTCTCACAATGTGTGTGATGACTAACAAAGACTACATGCTTGCCGGGGTCCCCCGCATTCTGCTGTTGCTCCCCCGGATTCAGGGTGGCCCCGTAAGCCCGGTTCCCCGCAATCCGGATGGCCCCCAAATTGAGTCCAAGGCTGCTTCTGCGTCGTCCAACCACCTTCGTCCCATTGTAACCATTGCAATATTGCAACAGACGCATCGTGAACAGCACCTCCAGCCACCGTGGCAGCAAGTAGCGATGGCAACGCAACAGATAAGCTCGGCGACACCCATTCCTGCGGCCGACGACGCCGCGTCTCGTCGCGCGAAGAAGAGGGAATTGGACCGACGTGCACAGCGAGCTGCCCGAGAACGGAACAAGAATCGCATTGCCTACCTAGAAGCGACTATCCAGGCTATGAGCGAGCAAGAGCAGAGCGCAAAGATCGCCAGCTTGATGAACCAGCTGTCTGACATGACGAGACAAAGAGACACCCTGTCGAAAACACTCTCCTCACTTGAGACAACCATTCAAGTCCACCGAGAAGGCGAACGTGCCGATACTTTGCAGGACCGAGCATCACAACCTGAGGCTACGGCTTCTAACTGTCAGCCGTGGCCGGGCGCTCATGAGAGTTCAAACGCTTTTGACATTGAGGTCGAAGATATGCCCTTAGACGTCTTCACCCCTGGCATCTCCGCCATAAGTTGGGGACTCCCAGTATCTGACGTAACCGGTCATACTCTTGCGACAGAGACGGAACTGGCCAACAGAGTTCCCGCTCCACCTAGCCTCACCCTGGCAGGGAACCCTAATCTGGAATGTCTACCCGACTCCCCTCCGCCTCGACATCAAGGCGATGGTGTGATCGTGCCGGAGCCAGATAGTGCCTGTGAGTGTTTAGGATCAAGACAAGATCCTCAAAGCCCGGGCTTATCGACAACAAGTTTATGGAGATCCGCAAACGAAGCTCTTGGCGCCAGCGAAATGCTATCCAGGAGTGTTCTGGCTATGGAGGACGAGATGAGCGACGACATTCCGGTCCGCGTCATCTTGGAAGGATGGGATGCCGTCGAAAGATCAGGGAAACTACCGCCCTTGTGGAGAAGACTCCGTCAGACCGATACGCTCCAGTTCAGAAACTGCCCGGATACCGAACGGCTTGCTATCCTGAGACTCATGCACCGCCTCCTCCGATACCAAGCCGAGCCCACAGTCGAACAATGCGCCAAGTTACCAGCATGGTATCTCAGCAGGTAAGCCGGTGGATTCGGCCGATTGTTCTTGTGAAAAATGCTCTGACAAATATCTAAAGACCATCTCAATCACTACCTCACTCTTCTGCAATAGACTTCTTCGTCTGGTAAGTCCTGCTTCTGTCAATGATTGAATTTCCATCGATTAAAAGTTACTTACCTTTTCCCCGCTTCCTAAAATAGGCCAGGTGTTCGAGAGCGCTTTGTGTTTTCACAACATCAGTACTGTTCGAACCTGTTCTGGGAGGTATTCGCAAGCAGCTTCCGAATCATGTGGCCTTTTGAGTTCCGCGATTGCTACCGGCGAAACATCGAGACAAGACGATACTGTGTGGCCCCAGAGTTCGAAGACAGGATCCGTGACATCAACTCCTGGACCATGTCGTCAGACTTTTTCAACCACTTCCCGGAGATGTATGCCGACATCCCAGCATATCAAGAAGTGCCAAGACTTTTAACTTGGAAAGATGCTCGAGAGAGCAGGCTACGACAAAGTGGAAGGGTCAAAGAACTAGAGACTGGAAGCTCTCCGCGAAGTAGAAGGAATTCTGACATGGACATGCTGAGCCTGGCAACAGTACAAAACTGGCCAGCAGGTGACTTTCTACTCTCAAATCCTTCAGGCACATAAGTAGATTTCAGTGTTCCCGTTAGCCGATGTGAATTACTTAGTACACAAGAACAGTCTACCACAGACATGCGGGAACTGTACCCATAGTCGAGATTTGCCGCCCCTCGCTCACCATGAGTCCTCACCTTTCACTCGCATGTGAAGCTCATGGCATCCTTCACGTCTCCGCTTCCTTTGTACTTGATAGACTGGGGGTAAGGACACAGGTTCCGAGTCGTGTTAATACCATCCTGCGTCGTCACAGCAAACAAAGTATCTGGGGCCTTGCCAGTTTCAACCCAGTCGATGAGAACAGAGAGCGGCTCAACGGGAACGGGGCCGTACCCACCACCGCAATGTCCCGCCCCCGGCGCCAAGAACAGCCGATAGAAGCTCTTCAGAGATTCCACGCCACCCACCCTCTCTTCAAGTCTGTCCCAGAAAAGTGTCGTCCCGAGATGGGTGATGAGCGGATCACCCATGCCATGCCAAGTCAACAGCTTCCCGCCCGCTTGCTTGAACTCCGTGAGATCGAAATCATCGGATCCAAAAGGCTTCGTGTACTTTGCCACAGACTCGTTGAAGATATCCTCAAACTCTGCGAACGTGAGAGATGCGGTGTCGAGATCCGGGTCCTGTGCTACGAAATATCGCATCCATGCTTCGGCCGCGGCGAATGGCACCGGCACGGTGACACCATCAACCGTCTTCGTGTTGGCGAGGCCGGTGAAGGGCGCGCCTGGTGGATTTCCATACCACAAGAAGTTGCCTGTTGTAGTCCTTGAGCCTTCAAGTGTTTTCGCAATGACCTTGGCAAAGTCCTCCGTTATCACGACAGGTCCACCAGTATCAGTACAGTTGATGCTCTGCCCAATGAGTTGGCTGGTATCAAAATGACACTTCTCGGGCGCTGAGATGAGGCCATCTTTTGCGCTATCCTGTGGATCGCACTCCGCAATGATTGCCTTTTGGTACTCCAGGAAAACGCACTGTGGTGGTGCGGCAATGTTGCCCATGACCACCGATGGCCAAAAGTCCGCAGGGGATAATTGAGGTGTGTTGATGGCTGGGGCATTGGCCAGGACACCATCGAAGTCATACGGATCGTATTGAGCAGCGAAGTAGCCCTGTCGTCCACCCTGGGAGCAGCCGCTGTAGTAAGAGTGGTGGGGTTTGGTACCGTAGAATGCCTTGACTGCCTCTTTGCCGATAAGTGCCATCTCATGGATGGACCGCGTGGCAAAGTTTTCGATCAATGGCTCGTTGATACTGCCGTTGGCTCTGAGAGCCCATTGACCAGAGTTCGCGTCAATCGTGTGATTCAGCCTTAGCCCGGCATCCGTCGAGGCAGCAGCAAATCCCTTGGAGACGGGACCAGCAAGAGCTGAGGCAAAGGTACCCGCAGCAAGACCGCCACCACCAGTGGCGAGAAAGCGTCCGTTCCAGGTATCTTCAGAGGGTAGCCAAATGCTCACAAACACAACGTCGTCTGCGCCATGGTGATTGAGTGCTAGAGTAAAGTTGCAAAAGTCGAATTTCGACGTTGGGTCAGTAGGTAAAACATAGTCGCGGACCTCGTTGCTCTCGGTGACTATGACATTAAAGCCGTCAATTGGCGGTATCTCGAGTTTGTCGCAAGTCAGCGGTTGAGGATCAACACAGCCTTTGGAAGGCAGACCCAGAACCCTTTGACCTAAGATCCATGTCATCAACAAAAGCCAGACTGTCATGATGAATAGAAACACTAATGGTCAAGAGTGGATATCAACTGGGGGAAGGTTCTCATTCCGACTCCTCTCGAGACAAACAGCCATCATCTTACTACCTTTATAAACCATTTCCCACACTCATTGCCCCGTAGATTTCATCAACGCAAGTGCATGCGAGGGGAAGTGCAAACGAGTTGCCTCGTGGAGCTGGGTAACACTGCGGGGATCTTACCATCTATGCCAAGCGAGCTCCCCAGTTTTCCATTCGAGCCGGAGTCTCCCAAGTCTCCCATGCACTTTCGGAAAGTGTTGGTGTGGTGCTCAGCTGCGAGAGCAAATGGTTGCGATGCAGCACCCCATACTAACCACGTAATCATACCAGCCCAAGGGCTAGATTTCTGTATTGAAGCCATCATCATTCGCGAGCCAGAATGCCGGGTCTCTTCTCCCGAGGAAAGGGATAACCAACTCTTGGCTGGCGTTGAGCTAGCGGTTGCTTAGGTGCGGTTGATGAGCGGAGGTTGAGCTACTGACACATGGTCCGAGAGTCTGCGACTCTGACTCTAGCGCCCTGACTCAGTGGCGTCGCTCCCCCTCCACTCTCATGATTGGTGTTCAGCGAATCATCAGACTGCTTATGAGACTTTGCATCTCGCAAGGCACGTTCTGGGAGTCCGGATTTGATGCTAGTTGTGCAGGAAGCGACCACGTCCCCCGCACTACCCCGGATTACCCCGCATCCAACCTTTCTCTCGGAGCTGCTAGGTGTCAAGCGAAATGGAGGCTTGCTTTGAGGCTTGCTTCGGCCTGGATTAGGCCCATGGTGGTTGATGGAAACAGGTCACCATCGCATTCTGATGGATATGTCTGTCTTGGCGATGACTCCTGGTGAAGACCCCTGCGAATACTTAAGAGAATGATCAGCATGTCTTGTACAATGGATCTCGGATTTGAGCTGTAGCAGAACTTGGGTGTCTTGCTTCATCTGCTTACAACCTCAACTCATCAGGAAAATATCAATCAGAATGGAGCAACGAAGAGCCTCTGGCGACCTTCACCAAGGAGATGAAGAGTTCGGCACTCGTACCATTGACGAAAAGACTCATGATTCAACTCACGTGGAGGATGTGAAGGGACGAGATGTCGGCCAGATCTGTGGACTCACCGAGGCCGAGCAGAAGAAAGTCATGTAAGTTACCTGACGGGTCCATCGTACGCAACTAAAAAAAATGCTAACTACGAACTCAGCCGTCGCATCGATATTCGTCTACTTCCGATTCTAGGCATAATGTACTCGATTTCCCTCATCGATCGAACGAATCTCGGCCTTGCCTTGGTTGCGGGCATGCAGGAAGATCTGGGGCTGGCTGTGGGAAATAGATACACTGTCATTGTGATGGTATTCTTTGTTGCATATATGTCCGTCCCTTCAAGATGTCCCAGCAGTGATCAAAGAATGCTGACGAATTCACTAGTCTCTTCGAAATACCCAGTGTACGACCCTGGTGTGGTTTCAATTGTGATGGAGACTTTAGCTGACCGTTGTAACAGAATCTCGTATTGCCAAAGGCAGGACCCGCAAACTGGCTTTCGTTCCTCGGTGTAGGCTTTGGCGTGGTCCTGATCGGAATGGGCTTCACCAAGAGCTGGGGTGCTATGGCAGTCTGTCGAGCTCTTTTGGGAATATTGGAAGCAGGCTTTCTACCAGGTACGGTCACCGTCCGTCAGGGTTTGACACCAGGTCTTGGTTGAAACAGATTTTAACATTGAAAGTTCAACAGGTTGCACCTATTTGATTACTTGCTGGTATACACGCTTTGAAGTGGGGAAAAGACTTTCTGGTTTTTGGATCCTTTCTGTCCTTGCTAGCGGTTTCTCTGCAATCTTTGCATATGTCCTGACTCTTCTCCGTGGAAAGAGTGGACTGAACGGCTGGAGCTGTAAGTCGAGATCTTGACAAGTCTTTTGAAATTGCAATATCGTGCTCATCAAATATAACAGGGATCTTCATCATCGAGGGCGCAATTACCGTGGTTGTGTGTGCTCTGGGCTGGTTCATCATCATCGACTTTCCGACACAGGCCGGCAAGTTCCTGAAGCCGGCGGAGCAAGAGTTCGTCATTGCCCGTATCAATCAAGATCGCGGCGATGCCGAGGAGGACCACATTAATCTGGCCAAGATTCTGCATCACCTCAAGGACTGGAGGCTGTACTTTTGGGCGTTCAATCTCATGGCTTCGACACTTCCTGGATACGCTTACTCCTACTTTCTCCCAATTATTCTTCGTAATGGCATGGGCTTCAGCAGCACCCAGGCGCAACTTCTTTCTGCGCCTCCCTACGTTCTAGCAGCGATCGTGGCCTACATCTCCGGCTATCTTGGAGACAAGTACAAGATTCGAGGGCCAATCATTGCAGTCCATCAAGCTTTAACTGCTGTTGGCATGTTGATCACCGTATACGGCAAAGCTAATGGTGCTCGCTACTTTGGAGCTTTCCTTGGTATGTTTGTTTGTATGAGCTGTAGGTGATTGTACAAGGTACTATGACTAACTTTACTTCTACTTACTATAGGTATTGGGTTTCTTCAGTTTTGCGTCCCTGGCGTGCTTACCTTCCAAGCAAACAACATTACTTCACACTCAAAGCGCGCAGTCTCAAGCGCAACATGTCTCATTGGAGGCGGCCTGGGTGGCATTATCGCAAGCACAGCTTTCATGTCCAAAGAAAGTCCTCACTACACTGTAAGTTGATGCATTGCCGGAATCTGTTTTGACGCATTGTTCTCTGACCATCTATTTCGAATTCTAGACCGGCATTTGGACAACTTTCGCGATCTCTATGGTGAGCATTACAATGATCATCATTATGGATGTCTACTTGTGGCGCTGCAATAAAGCAGCAAAAGCAGGGCACCGCAGGAATGAGGGCATGGAAGGCTGGCTGTATACGCTGTAATACGATACTTGAACAACTGGTTTAGCCTAACTTGATATTCTCAAACAACTTCTCGGGTATGGCGTAGCCTTATCCCGAAATGCAGGTATATCTTGATTGAGCCTGGCTGTTTCTCTAGTGCCTAATACAAGCTTGTTGTGTTCCTCTTGAGTCTTGCTCTTTATTCGGGTCTAAGGCCCGATGACAAGAGTTGTAAATGTCCTTTCAGGGCACATTGAACCTTGAGCATTGTAGGCAGGTTCTCTTGCATTGTTGTCAAGTCTTTGACTGCATTATGTCGGCTTTGGTCGCCTTGAGGTTTGTTTGTCTCGATGTTCAGCTTTGTACTATTCCATCTCGTTCCAGTGGTACTAAACTCAATCAAAGCACCCAACTCGGCTTCACAACGCGTATATATCCAGCGAATACTTCGGCCTTCCTCGTGTCCAAGTTTCATGTTCTCAGCGTCTCCCAAATATCATTGTCTACATCCACAGCAAGCACGCTCGCCATACTTCCAGGATAATCGGCATAATCCGATCCACTAGCAACCCCACTACCAAAACTCCTCCTTCAACAAAATGTGTCAAGAAACCGAGATTTTGATTGTCTGTTGCACAAAGAATTGCCTCTCTGAGAAAAACGACATCCGTCTTCCACTGCTGCGTCTCACATCAACGCCAGAGCCTCTTTATCACCTCTGCGAAAAGGCAAAGCAGATGGGGTACCGCACAAATGGCACTCTGCTTGGTCTTCCGCTCATGACGAACTACCCAGATGAGTGCCCCGATGTGGCAAGCGCTAACACATTCCAGCTATGCCTTTCCCACGCCGTCTCGCGTAAGGCTTCGCAGCGCGCCGGCTTCCTCGTCCAATGCAAGGAATGTTGTAACGCAGGCCATGCCCAGAACCATACCCTCAGCGACCGTCCAGGTAACTTCCCTCAATTCAACGCCCGCCCGCGGATTTTTCCTGCTGAGTCTTCCACTGAGTCCTCAACAGAGTCTCCCCCCAAGGAGAAGTATTTTACGAGTGATTGGACCTGTTGCGCGGTTGGCGAGTGCAGTGATGACGAGCTTTGTGAGTACCGTGTGACTGCTATCCTGTGTGGGATGTCGACGCAGTGCCAGGAGGCTGAGCAGGCCATCATTGACACATGCAACGAAGAGACAGACGGGGGGTACGATGGCGACGTCAGCGATAACTCCAACTAGTGGGATGTGTTAGGGATGCGCATGGTGAGACACGATACCTCAAGGCTCGGCAGCTCTTTGAGTCTGGAATGGCGTTTTCTCTTAGGAAGTAGAATCTGAAAAAGTGGTTTGGTTTCTGGTTGTAATAGATCGTTCGTTTAGTATACATTCTCTTTATTCTCCACATGTCGCGAAGCCTCGTCTTCGCGTCCTTCATAAAGTTGAAATTATTGTGATAATTTCACCAGCCAAGGCAACTAGATCTCAGGATTGACGGCACTAGCAGAGCCTGGTGGCACAGGCTGATAGCCACAGACCCTCTTACTCTTGATATCGACCATCATGTTTTTGTTGCATGTTGTAGGAGAAATGATGGCTGACTAGAGAGACAAAGAAACGTGCATTTAGTTCAACCCACTACCTAAAGCCGAAGCCATCACGGGCATGGCGCGCGGGGCAGACTTGACGTGACAGCGAACTGACGTTGTAAACAGTGGACGCGCCGAGAATGCCGATGTAGTAATGGAGAGAGTCTTAGCGACGTCAGAGCACATGGCGGTGGATGATACCCACTTGTTATGGGGGATCAGCGGCAGCGATGGGATGGCTAAGCTTTCAAGTTGGTTGGAACTTGGAGCAACGGCGTCCAGTTATGAAGTCATCGGTCTCCGTCTAATAGTGCTATCAAGGGCGGTTCCAACGCAGCATGCCTAAGATATTTCCATCACGCGGAGCCTCTAGCACACTAAAATTCGGTTGCTGCTTGGAATCCACGTCTCCCTCAGCTGCGTATTCTGGACGCATGGTTGTGCCTGTTGGTGGTGTTTTCCGTGTCAAAAAATAGAAAAGAAAATTTTCGTTGGTGTGGAAAATTCATCGATAAAGAAAAAGGGGCACTGGGGTGGCTCAAAGAACTGGGACCATCCTGTAGCAAAATCCTCCGCCGCATTGGCATCTGATGTCAATGGGTTCATGCGCTGCCATCTGACAAGTTGAACGCACAGAAATGGCGTTCGTGCTGGCGCAAGGGAGCGGCCCGAAGAACTCATGGACAAAAGCAAAAAGGGCCTGGTAAGCGGGCAAACTTTTGCAAAAGCCTTACTGGGGCCAGCAGGCAGGCAAGTAAGACTAGAAGGGATTCCATTCCATTTGAGGTTTCCTCCACTTTCTCGTGTCCGAGGCTCCGTCGTCTTTGAACATTCCCCCCATTCTTTGCGCCCGGCTAACCCGGCCACGCCGTCGTCTCGCACCGGAAGCCAGATGACGAGGTTTTGCAGCGCCTCCCGTGCCACCTAGGCACCTTAGAGAGCCGAGCTAGACTACCTTGGCGAACTGCCGGCAGCCCACCACGCGGCCAGTTGCAGCCATTGATACCGTAGCAAAGGCTCTGCAGGGTGAGATTGACGGGCCATTTCAAAAACTCCTCCAACGGCTTCAACGCTCTTTGATCACGTTGGTTCCGTTGAGACTTCACTCGTGACTCGCGAACATGGCCGGTGGTGTGCAGCGCAGGGTGCCAAAGAGGAGAATGGCCTTCCTCGACCGAGGAGAAAACCACCGGACCACACGGCATGGTCCCATTCCCTGTGGAGTCGAGAAACGGGGCCCTTCGGTCACTTCGCCCTCAATGCAACGGCACCAAGTAGCCCAGCCCGTTGCTTACAGTGCTTAGCGAAGATGGTGCCTGGCATTGACCCTTTAAATTTGGGTTGGATGTGGTGGATCGCGGCTAGCTGTGCCCGAGGGATGCGTTCATCGCCCTCATCGGTCTACGGGTTGGTTGCTGACGATTGAGAATTGCCTTGGTCTACGTCGGACTATTTGAAGTGGCTGATACCCGCACACTACTGCCTAATCTCTTGAGAGGGCTTTCGCGATGGTGTCGTCTCGTTTACCCAGCCCTCGGCCCTCAAGATGAGGTTTTCAATCGCCAGCATCATCGCCCTAATTACCCCGCTGACGCTCGCTGCCGACTCCCTTGAGTACAAGGCAACACCAGCGGGACAGGTTATCAAAGATGGTGTCAAGCTGAGGATACTTCCTGTGGGTGATTCTATCACTGTGGGATATCTGAGCAGCGATGGAAATGGCTACAGGCTCAAACTTGATGAGGACCTCTCTGGTATGTTAACTCACCGCGCATGAGAAGCTCAATCATGAACTCCACCACAACCAGGCGAACTGGGAAGGCCTCATATCTGACAATCATCACAGCCAACGAAGTTGTTTTCGCCGGTACAGTCTACGGTGGAAATATGAGCGATGGATACTATGTTCGTCAACAGAATAGGTCCTATTTCCACATTCCCAATTCTGACAAGTTGCAGGCTGCTTGGTCTGGGAAAACGATCAAGTACATCGCCGACAACGTAGGCCCATCCCTGGTACAAAGACCCAACATAATTCTCCTCCACGCCGGCACCAACGACATGAACCCAAACCCGGCAGTCTCCACCGAAGGCAACGACCCGGCGGCCGCCGCCGAGCGACTGGGCACCCTCATCGACCAGATGATCACCGCGTGCCCCGACGCCACCATCCTCGTCGCCCAAATCGTCGACACATGCAGCGCCGAACAGGAAGCCGCGACGGTCGCGTACCAGAAACTCATCCCGGGCATTGTCGAGCAGCGCAGAAACGCCAGCCACCACGTCCTGGCTGTGGACTTTGCGGCTTTGGGGACCGGCATTCTGAGAGACGATTGCATTCATCCGACGGATGAGGGTTACCGTACGATGGGTGACTACTGGTACGACTTTATTGCGCAGATTCCCAAGGACTGGGTCACTCAGCCGATAGGCGATGACCCTGATCGATCGAAGGATGAGGCCGCGCGCGCGAGCAAGAGTCTGTCAACCAGCGGCGCTATGGGCTTGTCTTCCCAAAGCTGGGTAATGGTTCTAATGATGCAGTTAATTATGACTGTCAGTATAATGTGTCAATGAATTAAAGTAATATGATAGTCATGGATAAGCGATTTACTTAAACTAAGCTATATAATAAAGGCAAATTCAAATCCTGTGAGACTACAGCATAAAGGAAAATTTCCAGTCCCTGGCTCAGATTGTTTTACTAAACGGAGCTGTGGGACTCGAGGCCAATGGACTCGAAAGTACATAATAATTATATGACACTTACCTAGGTGAGGTACCCTTAGATTCAGCCAACGACGTACTTGTGTCACAAGAATTCCAAGCAAAGCAAGTGCGAAGCGAAGCATTCGAGAATGAGCTCTTTTGGCGCTATGCAGTATCGTGCATCTTTTTACATGGGTGCAGTGACTACCAGGCTCATGATTGAATCAAACAGAGTCACCAAACAAAGAAAAGTTGTCGATTTGGTTCATCTCACTATTTTCGCACCGGCGCCTTCATCGTGGTCATAACCTTGAAGTCTGTCGCATAGATCCTGCCGGATTTTTATGCACCCAACCCGCGTAAAGACTGATGTAAGCCAGGATATATCATACACCGCGCCCAATGGGAAGTAAAATAGTCAAGCTCCATACCTAAGGTAGGATTAATCGCTCTCGAGATCACTACCGATAGACCCGATCGCCCAGTTGCTTTCTCACCCTTCCTCATCTCCGCGACTGCCTTTAGCTTCAACCAATCTTAGGTGCGTGTCTTTACGATTGGCTGGCGGACCAGTCCAGCCAGGCATAGACCGTCATCATGGAAAGCTTGACCCCGCGACTGCACGTCTGTAGGTGAAAATTCTGATGGTCTGTCATCCTTGCGGGCTTGACTAAGAGTGGATGAATTATCGTGATGAATGCGGGGTTTCTCACCGTGCCCTGACTGATGGTGGTGTACATGCTTCGCAGGAGGAACCGTAGACCCCTCACTTAGACAACTTCATGACGTTCGGCCATCTTGACTCCGCTGAAGATTATAAAACGAGGGGAAACCCGCGTGTTTTGTGAAACAGATAATGCCTAGGCCTTCTGATTGAAAGAATCGCATTTCAACTCAACGTGTGATCAAGAGAAATCATCCATTCAATATAAACCACTGCGAGATGTCGAACAGACAAGATCACGGGCTAAAGGAACACGGTCTGTCGGACGACGCCGTTGAAGCCGGTCATGACTTCATACACGACGCAGAGGTAGAGGAAGAGAGAGTAGGCCTCCAGTTCGGACTGGCAGCAATGCCCTTTGGCTGAATGATCTTTAGAGACACAGTGGGGACCAGAACACAATGCCGTCCGTGGCTTCGCAACAGAAGAAAGGAGTGAGCCTCGAGGGGATGCAGCAGAGTAATCCATTAGGAGAGGACAAGGCTGGAAAAAAGATGTGATCGCAACTGTTTATTGATGATGACATAGTCCTAGCGGCAGGAACTTCTGCGCGCGGCGTTTGCAAACAATTAAATTGTACTTAGGGTCTTGGAGAATGAAAACTGATTCAAGAATCAAGTGCTCAGTGATACAAGTTCGAATCCTTGCATCTTGATGGAGCCGCCTGTACTGATGTTCCAAGGATATGTCCAACATTAGCCATGTGATCTACTCTACGCGTACGACGCAACCGTTCTTAGGAAGTTGAGCCTGAGAAATGAACTTTCCTGGATGTGCAATAAATCACTTGCCTCGGTTTATTGTTGGAGTTCCCCAAGGATGGACTGTTGCACTTTGACGCTGATACTGTAGCCAAGCTGACTACTGGGGTGGCCAAGACATATTCCACAATCGGCCCAGCCCCGTTGCGCCATGGCTCAGGCCGACTTCGGACATTTATCATCAATCAGCCGTAAACACTGCCGGCCCGGACCGGAGCTACCCCAACACACCACTGCCAACTGGATCTCGAACAGGCCCGGCGGTGTGAACCTCACATCACCCTTACCAAGCACCCGCCAACCTCACAGCATCCGAGCCACGACGATATGATGACTCCCGCGCAACACTTCGTTGTCCTCGGTGCCGGCGTCATCGGTCTCACTACCGCACTGACCCTCAGAGCCGAATTTCCATCCGTGAAGATCACGATCCTAGCAGAGTACTTCCCCGGCGACTACAACATCGACTACTGCTCGCCGTGGGCCGGAGGTAATTGGTGCTCCTCAGCCAACGATAATGGTCTTCTCGAATCTTTCGACCGTGTCGCATTTGAGCGATTTAGGAAAATTGCAAAGAGCGCACCAGAAGCGGGAATTAAAAGTTCGCCGCTGCGAATGATCTTCGACCAAAAGATCGAGGATGCAGGCATTCTTAGTGTGGAAACTGGCAAGCTGTGGTACGATAACTTGGTTGGGGGCACTGTGCCACTTCGTACGGACGAATTGCCCGACAAAGCCGTGTTTGGACTTGATGTACCTAATACCTTTGTGATCAACACTCAAATCTACTTGCAATGGTAAGTTACACATTCTTTCACTCATATCTTGTGATACGCAGATAGCCTGACTAGGTATAATAGGCTTCTTGAGCAATGCAGACAGAGCAAAGTCATTCTGGTCCGTCAAAAGATTGGTCACATCAATGAGGCTCGCATCTCTTCAGATGTCACCACGGTCTTCAACTGTACAGGCTTAGGGTCCTACTTCCTTGGTGGAGTGGAAGACAAGTCCATGTATCCGACTCGAGGGCAAACCATCTTGGTCGAGCAGCCGATTGAGCCCCTCAAGAGGATGTACTTCCGTTCACCTCGAAGAGTAGACAACGACACCACCTACATCTTCCAGAGGCCTCTAGCAGGCGGCATTGTTCTAGGCGGATGTCGTCAAGACGGAAACTGGGACAAGGAGGTCGATCCCGAGTTGACAAAGACTATCCTCCAGCGTTGTTGCGCACTGGCCCCAGAGCTGGGGAAGCCCGGAGACTTGAAGATCATCAAGCACGGCGCCGGGCTGAGACCGAATCGTAAAGGCGGACCAAGAATCGAGGTTGAGAAGAGAGATGAGGGGTTGGTCGTACATAATTACGGAGCATCTGGGGCGGGATATCAGGCATCTTGGTGAGTTGAGACGAAGATACAGTGTATGATGATGTCGCTTTGCTAACGTGAACGTAGGGGAATGGCAGCACATGCGGTGAAACTTGCAAAATTGCAACTAACAAGTCAGACACCCTCGTCGAAGCTTTAGTTCAAGATGACATATTCTCAATCGTTACGAATATGGCATCAACAAAATCTCCAATTCATACAACAGGATTTAATTATCATTCATGGCATTAGGTACTAATAACTGCTTTTTCCGGCATGAAGCCCAGGGCATTTAAACGCTGGGCCACTTGTAGTTCAACCATTTCTCGAGTGTACCGTTCCAAGAACCGCTTCCTAGCTGCACATGGACCCAAGCATCAACGAACTGCTTCCATACAATATCCCTCGGAACCGCATATCCAAGCTCCTCGAAGTTGAATGGTGCGTCAGGGTTGGCAATACAAAGCTCGCCCTCATGCAGCTTGACCTGCAACTCAACTTCAATCAGGTCGGAAATCATGGCATCAGCAGTGCCGTCTAGCACAGCCTGGTAAACCGCGTTGTTATCCTCCACCAGGACAATTGTTGCAGACTTGAGATTCGCCCTGTCAAACGCCTCATTGGTTCCGCCAGGGTTGACGGCAACCTTGACGCCAGCCTGATCGAGCGATGCGAGGTCGGTGTACTTGGCTGCATCGGCGCAGCGGATGCAGGCTGTCTTGCCGACTCTCTGGATCGCCGTGGAGAAGAAGGCGGTTTTAGCTCTTGCAAGAGTCAGGCTGACGCCACCCATGGCAATGTCGAATTTACCAGCGGACAAGTCGCTCGTGATGTTTGCCCATTTCGTCGCGACGAGGCGAGGAGGCTTAGGCAGGCCAAGGGCGTTGGACAGGGACTGTGCGGCATCGATGTCGGCGCCGATGTAGGTTGTGTTGATTGCTGTAGTGTTTGGCAGGGTCGTTTGGTTCGTGACGAGGTACGTGAAAGGCTTGTAGTCCCCAGTTGTGCCGACGTTGATGTATCCGCGAGCAAGGATGGTGTCAAGGACAGACGTAACATTGGCATACGATAGAAGTGGTGTTGTTTCGCCAAGTTGAGCTTGAGCGTAGGCGCTCAACATGGAAGCGCCGAGAAGCGCTGATGTCCAAACGTTCACCATTGCGACTGAGGATCAAGCGGGCTGAAAGATTCAATACCGGGCGTGACTGAACATGAGACGCAACAGCGAATAGCCACAACTTTTATTGTCATCGTCCAGGGCCGATCCCGGGGCCCCGCAAGCTCATTTCGGAAATCGGAATAGACTCTTATCATCGGCTTTGAGTGTAAATTGCGATAGCGATAGCGAGTAATTTGCTATTGGTCAATTGGACCTCTCATGTCCCGCCAAGTCCCAGCTAGTCGAGCAGCTTGCGCAATCTGAATGTGTTTGAGTAAGGTAAAGACTTGTGTAATATTCTGCCGCGGCTTTTTAGACTCATTGCAGAGAACATTGTTCTGCTGCCAGGCGGGGTTGGCACCGTGGACCTAGGATTATCTTGAATGCATCAACGCGTCGGCATGTGGCGGGTCCACCAGTCAACCAGGGCTCCCCACGTTGTCGGGTTCCCTCAATGTTACAAGTAGATTCCTTAGATGCGACCGCCTCTTGACAGGAAACCTGATAACCTCAGCTGCATTCCGTGGATTCTTGTTTCCTACAATCAAAAAACAACAATTCGACAGAGTGAAGAATGGCAACAATTCAGCCTCAAGAGTTCCATCTCTTCCCTGAGCTCCCTCTAGAGCTTCGCCGAGCAATTTGGAATGAATGTCTACCTCACGTCCGCATTGTCGAGATAAACAAACCTTATAAAGGAGGGTACATTTACAATGGATCGATGTCGAAAAATGACGGAATTGAGGAGTGCACACATCAAATGACGTACAAGCTTAATTCTATCCCTCCAGTCATCGCGGCCGTCTGTCGTGAATCTAGACAAGTTGCGGGGTTTCCAGTCCCGCGAGATGAGAAATGGCAGGCAAAGACTGTCGCAAACAGAGAACTAGTTGACTTGTGGTTCGATCATTCCCCGGGTAGAAATGTCATATTCCTTGATTGGGATTCAGGTTGTGGTCACTATTGGTCAGCTCGTCCTCCCATGGGGCCCTTCAAATATCTATCCCTCGTCGCGAACTACGCCCAAACGGTATGCGTCACAGGAGAAATTCTACATACACTCTTCCCACCTTTGAGCGACCAGGAGAATTTCCGCACTCTTTGGAGCATCGAAACTTTCTTAGTTTGTCAGAAGATAATTGCCATTCACGCTAAGATCAATGCTGCAACACAATCTGGACTCTGGGGGTTCAACGGTGAGGAGCGCATCGGTAAGATTGCACAAGCTCATTTGATTTTGTTTGCGAAGACTAATCCGGAACTGCAGTCTTAGTTCCTGTGGGAAATCGTAAACAGATAGAGGATTACGCGAACTTCGACAGTATCTTTGGCTCCAAAGAATATGGCGAGACCAAAGACTTCTTCCAGAGGCTTGATGGGGACCCGACGCAGGGGTCAATGCAGCAAGAGCTTCTTACTACCTGGAAAGCGAGGTTTTTGCTGGGACGCTGGCATGATCAACAAGCTGAACTCGGCTTGCAAAAAGTCGAAGACTGGAATGTGACGCCAGTCCCTGGGCTGTTCGGAGTAGTTGACAGCGGATTGGAGAATTGGAAGCTGAAGGAACAAAGCGAATGGGCAAACATGACTCTTCCGTCAGTACCAAGGATCCAATGGGTGTACATGTTTCGCCTATGCGTGAACGATTGCTATGTCAAGAGATCAGACAATTTGAGATAGTACCTACGTAGTACAATCTTTCATATTCTACTAATGTCACGAACACTAGCAATAGGAACAGCTCTTGTGAGATGTGTACGTTTTGGCATAAATTTGAGAGATCTGCTACAGGAGGAGATACATTTTTCAACAAGTTTTAGCTCGACATGAAGGTGCAAAGGCATGAAGCCAAATTCGAAGACATTGCTAGCAGGCATGGCCACCATGTAGCGTGTGTTTCTGCGCTTGCTAAAGTCATCTACTACGTTCTTCGACATCAATTATAGTGTCTTCTTAGGTAGATCTATAGTGTGACCTCACTCTCCAACCTCATCTTGTGGTCGCATGCTAACCAGTGTCAAGCTATGTACCCAGCGCCTCTGTGATCCATACATAGTCTACGTTAACAGGTATGTACTTCAGTGCTACGAAGACTGTTTGCGTCGTACTGGCCAGGTTTGTTAACAGCATAATTTAAAGTATGAATAGATGCCGCCATATTGGTTCATAACGCCAATGCGACTGATGGTACAAGAATTCTGCGTAGTGTCTGTTGGTTGCAAACACCAGATCCCGCCCCCTGTCTATGGTCCCATGTCACACTTTCCACTCTCGTTGATTGGACAAGTCCTGGGGCTGTTGCTCTGTTGGTTCTTCGATGGACATGGAACCTGGCCATTACCTTCCAAAAACTGCTTAAATCATGCATTTCGGGTGCTTGAAGGATTTATCCTATTCGTTCAGGTAGGCAGACGGAGCCGCCGAGAGTATTGAGTGGATAGCTTTGAAGCAAACATCGGTAACAAAGCAAGGTGGAACATCTCACCCAAGTGGGGCAATACATCTAGGATTGATCACGCTTTACCCGCATCCCCTTTCTCTCGTTGCTCTTCGGATCGTTTACTCGACATTTCGTCGAACCCCTCAGCTCAAGCATGTACGCATCAGCTAAAGAGGAGAGAATGCAGGCGACAGATCTCTCTGCCATGGTGGGTGCCACTCCTGCGAATGAGATCGCGTCAACCACAGACATGAACAAAAACGTAAGTAGTTCGTTTTACTCCATGCAAAGACATCAAATCTGGATTGAGTATCTACAACGAGCATGCGTAGGATCAAATTGATAGCTATAGCCGTACTGACGCAATGATACAGGTCAAAGACATTGCAGTCGATGAGGACCAAGACTCCCAAGCAAACAAAGAGGGGTAGATTCCACAACTGAACTTCAAGAAGTGCAGACATAAGCCCCCATCTTATACAGGCAACTGACTGTAGTAAACCTGATATCTACAGTACCCAGGCATCTTCCACAAAGTCTCTGAGCGAGAGCATCACGGAGTATCGTCGCATTCACGGTCGAACCTTTTCCCAAAAGACAGACTACTGGGGCCCCAATGATGAGACGCAAAATGAAGCATTGGACATTGCGTAAGTACAATCGATTACACAATTGGACGCCCATGAGACAACCGCGGCTAATTTCAGTGTCTTTGCTGTGGAGTCATTATTGGGAGACTTTGTTTTTCGATGACCGACTGTTCCTAGCACCCCTCAGTCGTAGCCCACAAGTGAGTTGATCAACCTGATGCGCACGACCAGTGGTATGGTTTTAAGAAGATGAATAGAAAGTTCTTGATGTCGGAACTGGCACGGGCATCTGGGCCATGTGAGTATCCCAGTCGGGGTTGAACAAATCATGCAGCAGACCTTGCTAATAACCCGCCGCACCTAGCGATTTTGCCGACGAATTCCCATCTGCTGAGGTCATTGGTGTAGATATCTCACCCATCCAGCCCCCGTGGGTTCCTCCGAACTGCAAGTTCTACTTTGATGACGTTGAGCAGCCATGGACGTGGTCCAAGGACTTTGACCTCATCCACATTCGCCATCTCGAAGCCAGCATCGAGAACTGGCCGGCGCTGTATAAGCAAGCTTTCGACCATCTGGTTCCTGGAGGCTTTATTGAGGTCAAGGAATTCGATATCACAACAAGATCTCAGTTTTTTGGTGATTATATTCCCGAAGATCATATTTTTCATCAATGGGCCAAAGTCATGTTTGAGGCGACTGATAAGCTTGGTAAGACGCTGGCCCAAACCCAGAATCACAGCATTGCCAGAGCTCTTGACGCAATTGGCTACGTTGACATAGTGGAAAAGAGATTCTCTATCCCAATTGGTGCTTGGCCTAAGGATCCAAAGCTGAAGGAAGTTGGCCAGTGCAACTTGCTCTATAATGACCAGTCACTTGAGGGATTTGCTCTATTCTTGCTCAAGGAGGTCCTGGGATGGGCGTATCCCAGGATCGTCGTCTTTGTAGCTGAGATGCGTCAAGCTCTCAGAGACCCCAGTCTTCAGGCCTTCTTCCACCTGTAAGTCCTCATTGCGAGAATAACCCCCATACCTGGTTTGAATCAGAGAAAGCTAAACACAAGCCTTAGTCATCTTGTCTACGCACGTAAACCTGATGAGGTGGAACAAATACAGACTGAACTAGAGGAAATGGATTGGATGAAGGTTGAGAATCTGGTTTCATTGCGAAAGACCTACGATGAAAGATCGTAAAGGGAGAAAGTCGACATTTTCGAAATAATACGAGGGTGAAACGCGTAGTGGCTTGTAATTATGTATCAATAAATAAATCAGCTAGAGGAATGGATGGACAGTGCAATTACGAAAGCATTCAGTTCTCCACCCTAGACACTGCAATTCAGGACCCTCGACAAATAACACACACATTCTTGGAGCAGTCTGGAATGCTGATTCATAAAATTCACTCCATGCGGCCAAGAGGACTTTACGGCCGTCTCCCGTCCAAATACTTTAATAGTCCAGTGATGTGTGGCAGTCGCACCTAGCACCAGTCCGAAGAGATGGAATATTCGATACAGAAGTCATATACAAACCCTATCAACTTGTTCGCAAGACGAGAGTTGATATTGTTGACAAAAGAAGCCTCTAAGTCCACTCCTCACCTGTAATGCAACTTGAGTTGCAACAGCTCACGATAACCTCACATACGACCATACCCATTGGACAATTCGGGATCCCGTCCGCTCTCCCATAGACAAGCCGATGAGGGCCCGATCAGTAGTTGGGTCGGTGACGACCAGCGAATACCGGGTGTTGTATGTCTTTTGAGATCTTTTTGCTAAAACGTAGATTGTGGTGGATCGGAATGGGTCTTGAGACTACCCACATGGAGCATTCTTTGTGAGTGCCATGCCTTTGCTAGCTCTCCGCTGAATACCATTATACCGTAGCACTCTGCCTCAATGCATTGAACTTGCCGTGCAACTCTCCAGAGTTCTGTAATGACTGAAGATAAATGCCACATTCATATCTTCAAACCCTCCTTTTGCTGGTGCGGCAATGATCTCCAGATTATTGATCATCGACCTAGGGTAGTTCGAACTCAAGCATTATTTCCCAATCACGAAATTGTTGATGGAGTCAGTAGAAAACTACCAAACTGTTTTACACCCTTTAACACATGTGGCCAGTGATCTTTGATCCCAGGCCGCCCAGGGTGACGTAGATACACCCCTGAGGCCTGTCTCCGCGACAAAGGCCCTGAACGCGGATTATGTGCTTCTAGTATAAAGAGATCTCGGAAAGAGGGGCTTCGACTTTTTTTTGGTCCACCTCTACATATATGCGTTCGCCTCTCTGAAATTTCCCTTGAAAGCACGTCATTAACGGCCAAGTCGAAGTTCGGGGCAAGTTGTCTATTTGAAAGCGCTGCATCTGTGAATAAGCATCGACATAATGGCTCTGTCATACCCGTGATTCAAAGCTCAAGTCTTTCGAAAGAATTTATAGCAATGACCGCTTCCTCGATGGCGACGATGAAACCGAGCGTACCCTCGTACGGGTAAGAAGTGAAAGCTCATCAACATAGTCTACATGCAGCCATCCCGTGTGTAGGAAAAGAGTTGACTGGGCCCCGTTGCTGAAAATGAGAAGGGCTTCACTGGCCGCAATCGACTCATCTACTGTAGACCCAGATCGCTCATTTTGGTCCGAATCTCTCTCGTTAACTCTAGTCGCGTACTTCCTTTGGTCCCTTTGATGAAAAGAAAATACGTATAAGAGCAGACTTGGATTCAGAGAAAACTAGCGAAGCAAAGTGCTGTTGCTATTCCGTGGCTAATGGGGTCTTGGGTTACATTAAACCAAAGGAGTAAATTGGAAGTTATATAGATGAGTGAACTACGTTACTAAGGATCAAGAATAGTGATAGTGTCCTTCCCCGAGTATTACTACCTCGTATCAAATAACACCGAGTAAAAGCGATAAAACGTGTTCATTCTGCACGGCTCACTCAAACTGAATATCCTTCCGAGTCATCATCATCGTCGTCATTCAGCGTCTCATCTCCGCGGCCGGATCCGCTCCTTTTCACTTGTATTTTTTCCTCTTCGTCATCGTCGGCACTCCCATAGAATACAGTTTTCTTCATCACCTCCCTGCCTTTTTGAGGCCGTGCTATGGATGACAAATTGCCTTGCTCCCTTATGGCAGTCGTCCTTCCGTGCCCCCCTTGACGTGAAGAGTAGTCTTTGCGTGCCCTGGGGATATTCTTCCCGAAGTCGTCATACCGTTGCTGGCTCGTGAACGCCACTTGCCGGTCCGGTCCGCGGACGGAGATAATGTAATCCTCAAAGTCCCGCGCAGTCTTAGCTATGGTGCTGAAGTTGCGCTTCGTCAGACGGACCACCATAATTCTCTTATCCCCAGACAGAAACGCTTGTTCTGGAGTAAGTCCCTCATCCTTGATCCGCTGCAGCCGCTCGTGATGCCCAAGCGCAATCGCCGTCTGAAAGGCGTTGCGTATCTGGCGTGCGTTCCATGTCGTATCGTTAGCCTCGTGCTTCTGGTAGTGTTGCCGTGCAAAGTCGAGAAGCCGGGTACGTTCAAACTCAATCTTGGTCTCGGCCGTTTCGTTATCCTTAGTAATCCGACTCAACAAATTGGACCAAATCTTCAGAGTTGAGTCCAAATCAATGCTTGGATACTGGAGAGCCACGTGGATGCGCGATTTGAAAGCCTCGTCAATCACGCCAACAATATTGGTGGTAAGAAACAGAATACCTGAATAGTATTCTAGATGTCTGAGAAAGACTGCATTATTCTTGTTAGTGCTTTCAACCAGCAATGATTCTAGATTTCCATACCAGACACAAGCGCATTGCGATGCATGTTATCCCAGCTTCGACGCATGAGAAATACATCTGCCTCGTCTAGGAGTAGCACGCAGCCCCACTTCTCAGCTAGGCGTGTGTGATATTGGAGGCGTCCTTCGACCTCCCCGGCAGTAATACCGATATCACCACAGGTGATGGAGTACAACGGCCTTCCTGAGTAGGCAGCAATTGTTTCCGCGGTGCTTGTCTTGCCTGATCCTGGGGGCCCGTGGAGAAGGATAATCAGTCCACGGCCTTTGCCCCTTACCAGGTCGATCTGCATGCTTAGGCTGCTCTTGAGATCCGCTTTCTGCCTTTCGCCGTTCACACTCGACGTGTGATTATCGACCAGGGATGCTAGCAGACGTCTATACTCTTCTGGAATGACCAAATCATTCCAGCCACTTTGCCGGGCCTGCTCTGTTTTGTCGATCTCTTCGATGCCGTCGACGCTGATCCAAACTATAAAGCATTAGCCATGAGGACCTCCACTTAGAGTCCAACCCCCCCCCCCCCCACCCTTTTCCATTCTTTTCTTTCTCTTTGAAACAGAAAATTTGGGCGCTTACTCCACCGCCGGCTTCGAAACTCAAATGCTGGTACCTGATAAGGAAGAAGCAGGAGGTATGCAGGATCAAGTCCAAGGTTCCTGGACCTAAGCTGCATGGCGTCGCGGTGCGCTAGGAGGAATGCCCCGGTACGTGCCTCGTCGATATCAAAATCTCCGCTGCTGACTTCTCTATTAAGCTGGCCGATAACGCTCTCATTAGTTTCTCTGCGGTTGTACGGACTAATGTGCAACCGGCCCATGTCGAAGCTCCGTGTGTGTCTCGTGCTCATAGGCATACTCCTGGAGGTTTGCTCGCTGTAGAACTCCTTGAGATCAATGTAAACGTCGCTCTCTATATACTCAACACCCCGGAGAAGTTCTTGCGTCGCGAAACCTGGCCTCCAAGAACTCGACGGTGAATCATACTCAGGCAACATGGTAGTCAACGCCTGCCATGGAACCATGTTCGGTCCGTCGTACTTCTTGTGACCCGAACACTGCATGTAGGCCTTACCTCTCAATTCCAAATTATCACATATCTTCGCCGAGTTGGGATGAAAGCGAATCGGATAAGCCTCAAGGTGCGTAATGGGCTTCTCGCCTGTGAAATGCTTGAGATGGATGTTGAGCTGGATTGGCCCAATATTGGTTCCATTGTCCATCATAACGAAGGTATCGACGATCACATCCGTCCAAGTCCCAGCTCCGGTATTGACATCGAATTCTTCTTCAGTTGAAGAAGGAGGTCTGTAGTGACTTTCCTGGTATGTCTTTCTCAAGAGTCTCACACGACCGCCGGAAACCGAGTAGACCTGAGAAAGCTGCTCTTCGCCGGTGGAGGCAGACAGTACCAGGTCGCCTGGAGAAAAGAGGTAGTATACCTCCTCAAATGTTACCGTTCTGAGCACTCCGCTTGCTACCTTTAATCGCAAGCCGATCAGATGGGCCAGATCTCTCTGAACGAATTTGTGAAGACATTGGAGGTGAGATACCCTGGTAGCTAGGCCTTTCCGGCTTTCAGCATTCTCTAGAGGCTCCAATTTGCGGAAGTTTGAAGTTCTACCTTTTTCTATAGGCGATGGTGCTACAGTATAGTCATGACCACGATCGCTAGGCCCCGCTTCGGGGGAGTTCTGGGTAGGGAGCGTACTGGACGTAAGTTGATTCTCGAGTCTTTTCAAGAGTGCTTTGATTTCGGACCATCCATGTATGAGAAGCTATTGCCTTTGTCAGCCCGTCAGGAGCGAGGTCAAAGTGATGAAATAATAGACTGCTCTCACTTTGAAGGGTGGAATCATGCTAATCTGAGAATCAGTCAAGAACCAAAAGAAGAGTTTGGGACAATGTCGCTTACATGAGCGATTTCTCCTGTAGTGGCACATCGAATATCTCCTGAAGATCACGGAGCAGAACATCGGACTGAATCCGGATTCTCATGGGTCTCTCAAAAGGGTTTTTCGCAGAATGGCACGCAATAAAATCTTCGTCAGATAGAGGAAGGCTCGATGCTCCGGATTCCAGCCCAGGAACCTCTCGATAATAGGCTTTGATGATATGCTTTGGCTGCGCTGCAGATTTCGGAAGCGGCTGCGATGGAGGTGGCGGCATCGGCGGCGGCGGAACCCAGGGTGGTAGCGCACTGTATCGTGGCATTGGATTGGTGTTCCTGACATCGCCTTCTTCTCGCCAGTCATCCATCGAAAGTCTCTCAATTTCGCACAGCCAAAGGTCAGGGTCTTCGACTATGGATTCAGAGCTAGAAAGGAAAAAACAAGCACCATGTTATTCATCTGGCTTCAAGAGAACTATGCAAATAGTCAGAGGCATACTATACGCTAGTGGTCGTGTCTTCGTCCTGCTGCTCCGACTTGACAGGAGACCTCGCTTGTACTTCGTCTGAAGTCAAGTTTTTTTGCGAACTCTGCGCAGCACAACCATCCTCCAGCCCGGATGGAGGGTCGGGGGTGGGTATCCGTTCAGTTACGTCGCTGGTGGCCATCCTAATTTGCCTTATTGCCTTCTCTGTAAGAAATAGAGATATATTTGACAACACTTCGAAAGGAAGATGTCAACGCAACGAGCTGCTGTGGTTCAGAGAAGGCTAACTTGCTCCCGCAGACCTTCAAATACGTTGCGGTTCCCCCGCATCTTGCTGCGCCGCATTACATTACAGCCGCGGCCGGCCTGCGGGTGAGCCCAATGTTGAAAAGCGCTGGGTCAACATGCAACACATATGAGTGTCGTCTTAGAGGGTGGCATGCTGCGGCGAAACAGTACTTGGATTACAATCAGCTGCAGCTTGATTTTGATTACAGGGATGAGCAGCTGAAAATCTCAACCAAACCCGTAAGCAGTGTGACATCCACTTGCATTTGCCAAGCTATAAGCTCATCGTGGAGGTCTCCTATTGCTCAGCCTTGCCGCCAGAGACCAGAAACGAACACCTCCGCATGAGTTTGTTTCTAAATATGAGAGCGAGCACATCTGTAGCAGGTTTGCCAATGTTCAGTATGAGCGATTTGTCGCTTTGCAAGAACACAGATCGACTGTTTTTGAGATCTCTTAACTCCTTCATTCACATAATTCAAGTTTATCCCCCATGCGCGACTACGGAGCTCAAATCAGCGTCAGCAAGGGGAAACCTATCGTTCGTCTTCATTCTTATCACATCATGTCAGAACAAATATCTACGACTCGTCCCGGCACGGCGATGGCCGAGTACGAAGTGGTGGAATACATGTGCCAAATGGATGGCACAATTCATCCCGCACTCGGACCTGGCGTACTTTATGATGAACAGGGTAAGTGTTGGCTGCAGCAGCAGTCTGGGGGTCCCGCTGAGCTGTGAGTGTAAAAATGTATTTCCAGTCAGAGGGGAAGAGCATACCCTTTACTAATCCACCCAACAGCGACTTTGCACTACTGTATGACGAATCTTTGCGGGCGAAGGACGAGTTGCTGTCGATTGTGAGCAAATATTTGGCGAAGAAAAAGAGGCCGCCGCTTGACTTGAGCACCTGTAATGACTGGACAGCCGTCAAGCAAGGGGTAGACCAAGTTTGTGCGGCCCTTGATCAAGCAGCTTCACTGAATGACGATGCGTCAGGGGTTACTGGAAAGCTCAAAGAGGGATTTCACGTCTTGTGCGAGAAGGCCGGCATGGGGAAACTATTCACGGCATTCATACCAAATGACCTCATGCTGACCTCACCTCTCTGTGCCGGCCTGAATCTCATTTTCAGCGCGCTCGAGCAGACAGGCACATACCGCCAAGCAGTGTACAAAGCTATTGAGCAGCTTCCGGAGATACTCAATAGCTTTGAGGGCTATCTGAACATCTACGACCAAGACGAGAAGCTTCATCGTATGGTAGCCAAGCTATACGCAGAAGTATGTCTGACGTTGGGGGAAATACTGCGATGGTTCATGATGAATCAGTTCCGTTAGTATTCCCCGTCATGCTTGGCCCTGCAAAGTCAAATCAGTTCCGTGTGGCCGACCTATATTGACGATACTGCTTTACTGGGCGCAGTGAAAGGTGCAAACCGTCTCCTGACCCCTACGAGCTCCTCCGCAAAGCTCAGCGATCGGATGGCTCAGGTTAAACTAGCAGCCAAAAGCTTGAAAGCCCGAGCATGTGTTTTGATGCACGAACGCCAGTCTGACATCCAGAAAAGGCTTGCGTCAAACTCATACGACCAATCTAGAACGAGGGAACAGCTTGAAGAATTATGCAATATTCTTCAAAGACAAGTAGCGCGGCAGGACGTCTTTCAGAACATGCAGAGCAAGGTTTTTGAAAGTCTTCAACCTTTACTTCAGCAAGACATGAATAGTAAGCCTATCAACGCATTCCAGGTCATATTCGCTACCAAGGCCTCTAAACTAATCTGCCCTAACTGGATATTAGGAATTACCGCAGAGAACACTCGGCCAGTTGCAACCGATGGACCAGCCACCCCGGAGCCAATAACTGAATCAACAGCTGATGAAGTTCTAGAACTTCTTTTATATGATCCTGACCTGATCCCAACAGATGTGGGTCAATTGCTTCTTTCAGGTCAACCTACAAACCCGATTCCATTGGACTCAAGCCGAGTTTTGGCTATTTGGAAATCTCCAAGAATCGAGTCATGGTTCGCATTAGACGAACCATCACTCGTCTTGCTGAACGGGGGTGCCGACCGCTTATGCGGTGCAACATCGTTTGTCAGTGCCCGCATAATTCAGCAATTACTTCAGCAAACTCGGCAGCCCAGCCGATTCATTCATACCGTCACAATAGCTTTTTTTTGCAATCAGCATCTGAACTATAGACGAGATGTAATGGGAAACCCATCTGAGCTAGCAATGAGTCTTCTTCTACAACTCGTGGACCGGTTTCGAGGATTTAATAGCTACGATTTCTGGAGGTGCGTGGATCAGACGGACCCTGACAGTATCTCGAGTATATGCGAGTCGTTGAGATATCTGGTGAAGCATCTCCCGTCGAATGTGGTACTGTTCCTGGTTATCGACGGACTGGACACATTTAATATACCGCGAGAGCGACGGGACCGGACTCGTGAAGTCGTCGGCCGCCTTGTGCAGCTGCACCGCGACCGGCCAAGGGCCACCTTAAAGTTCCTTTTTACAAGTTCGACTAGGTGCCCCTTTGTACGAGAATTTTTCGAGGAAGAAGAAGTCATCGACTTACCAATAGCGGTGCCATCGATAGGCAGCGACCGGCAGTTAGAACAAGTAGCTTCATAAGGAAAAGATAGAATGAAGAGATCCGGGATAGTCATATTTATGTATCTAATCTGAGGTAGAGTTTGGAAATAATCTAACCCGTCGAGTTGATGTTTATTTCTTATTTTCCAAAGACGCCTACGCCTACGTCTCTATTAACGTTGAGGGTCTCTATAACTAAGGGATGCTACGTTTGAATTTTCTACCTGAGTTTCATAAACAATATTTCTGACCAAGCTTACCATGTCGTACATCACTCATATGCTTAAAGTATTTAGCACTTAAATCATTCAAGTTCTTATTTCAAATCCAATAGCCAGCGATTTTATATTCTATGCATCCTACAACTTGAGAATACATGACACTACTTAATGATTCTCTAGTCTTTAGTCCTGACAAAGCGAACTCTTTATACAATAGGCTTCAAAAGCATGTATGGCAGAGAACCATGGGAGATTAAGCTACATGGGTTCGACTGCTCTCGAATAAAATGTTAAGCCCGGGGTTTCAACTGCCTTCGAGCAGGAGCTCATCACTTCATCTGAGGTGGTTACATTGACTAGTGCGAGCAGATGGCTAATGATCATTTATTGTACATACGGCTCTTCACATACGGGCAGGTTCTAAGCCGCCACGACTTCTGATACTACGAGATACCTCCGTAGCCTGAGGCATAGTTTGAAGGAGATCCAGGGGTATCTCAGCAAGAACAGCGTCCAGTAAGCCATCGCGTCCGTCAGACCAGGCAACATAAGTATGATTGTGAGTGAGCGAGATAAAGGAAGCCCGGCCACCTGGCTGACCATTTTGACCAACAGGCTGTGGCTGTGGCTGTGCCGTAACCTTGATTGGTACAGCAAAGTTGCGTCCACCGTCAAAAGACAATGTCAAGTAAACATCGAGAATACACGACGAGTTAGTGCGCCACACGACACCAGGGAGACCATTCGGACTAAAGTCGAAGGCAGGGCGCTGCGCATCAGGAGTCTGGATAACGGCTGGGTCTGTGAAGGTTCCACCTGCAGTATGCGTGATATAAATCTCCAGCGTGAAGTCGCGTGGAACCATAAGCGCGAAACGACCCGTTGAGGTAGGGTCTGCGGACACCCACGGCGTCGGATCACTACGGAGACCAATGCCAGACTTCGCCAGCATCGGGCCGGTGCCGTTTGCGACGAAGGTGCCTCGGCTATCAATCAAGGGAAATGTCTCCCATGTTACGCCCTTGTCATGGCGCACGTACATCTCTGGGTGTCCTTTCGAGCCCTCCGCAGCCGAAGCCAGAATGCTGTCGTGAACTGCAATGGATCTGCCGGGGAATCCATAGATTGGAGGCGGGTCTGGGATCTGATAGTCCAGGCAAATGTCCACGGGACCGGGGATTCAATTAAAAGGAGCCCAGGTCTTGCCACCGTCTGAGCTGGCAGACACAGCTGCTGGGTATTCCTAAGATAATGCACCATTTGCGTACACCTTTCCCGTAGCCACGTCGATCCGCAGCTTCTTCGCACCTTGCATATGAAGCGGTGTCACAGATAGACGCTCCACGTTTTGACTCCGTCAATGGACTTGGACAACTGGGGATGAGCGGCAATGTTTTCTCTCAAGCCGGAGAAGACTTGGTTGTTGAGGAGATAGAACGTCCCATTCGCGTCGGCAAAGACCTGTGGCTCGCCACACTTCTGCGCGGCACCTGAGGGGTAATCCGCTGTGGCGTTTTTCCAGGTAATTCCGCAGTCGAGCGTATAGGTCAGAAAGCAACACCCAACGGGCTCAAGTTCAGGTAGAGGATGGAAGCGTGTCGACACGAAGACAATATTGTCGGGTTTTGTGGGGTTGACGGCGACGACCGGTTGGCCCTCGCGGGAGGCGGTGCTTCTAGTCATGTTCATCTCGCGGATTGACGACGCTCGCGGATCGAGGAGTCGTAAACAGCTACTGCTAACCGCTGAATTGGTACCAAGGCTGCCAAAAGCAAAGGCCTGCAACGGAACAGATAGAACTGAAAGTCCCATTAAAGTCTGGGCGAACAGGAGGAACATTCGAAGAAGACGATTGGTTCGATATCCTCGCAGCGTGCTGGTTCTAGGCCAATGACTGCCTGGGGACATGATTGTTTGAGCCATGACGATGTCGCCTGCAAGGGTGGAAAAGATTAAAAGCGAAGAAAGCTTTGATTTTGCTTTTCGAGAAAACAAAGCTACGAGCGAATGCTCCGAGGAAGTGTTTCGAACGCGGCTCATGAGAAACCTCTTTGCCTTGGAGAGGGAGTATTTGTGCTACATCTATGTATACGTTCCAGTTTATGTCGGTGTTAATTTGTATGGTGCTTGATTTGGGTGCGTGCCTCTCACAACATACCTTACAGTTTTAATCTCGCATTTCGCATTTCGCATCTCGAATTCCGCACTTGGCATTGTAACTCCTGCCAAGCCAAGCTCGACTTTGCCACGTCCGCCTCCAATACGGTAGTTTGCATAGGCCTGCAGAGGCGATGCTACGCTGTTAGAGTGACCATAAGAAAACGACGGGGATGATTTCGCAAATCACCTAGAGGATGGAAGTTCTACTGAAACTGGGTATCTTTGGCCTGTAATTACAGGACCAGCTGTAGTCTTCCGGACCAAACGCCCGCAAGGCGCCGGCCGCCAGAAGTGAGACTGGTCGGCCCTGGACCGGCTGCCCAACTGAATACCCGCTCGACCCTCCGAGAGCCTTATTCGTTCGCTCCCACCTCGAAAGACAGCATTCGCCAGGCATGCATATGTCGAATATGGGCACGAAGGACCCAGAAACATAGAGAACAGCCGCCACCACACCATTTCTCTGACTACCTTACATGGGATCAAGGCGGTTGGCGACTGATTTTCGAATCAAATGGAACAACTCCGTTCAAGTATTTGGCTTGACGGTCAAAGTGGTGAAGAAGAGAGGCTGCACACGGTGTGTTAGGTAGTATGTAGCCTTTGACATATCGCCATTCATCGAGTAAGACCTCTGAAAGATGCGGAGTGTTTATTGGTCTCATTGCAACTCCACACCTCCCAGAATCCTCTACCACAATCATGGTTGATCGAAATTCTCCATGTTGTTCAAGAAGTTTTTATAATACTTAAATCACTATTGTGCAGTTGAGTATGGTCTGTTTGAGAGACTCACAACACTGCATGTTGCCAACACTGGACATAACACATCGCTCAGCCATGGCTTCCCGAAGATCGGCCCGTTTATTTCATCAAGAGGGTTTGCGTCTTACCAACACACCAGGCAATACCACGCTAGAGTGTCTTCCAATCGAGATCTTCCTTTTGATTGCCGAGATGATGGTACATGATGCCGAGACCTCTGCTCAGCCACTGACCTGGAATGCGACTTATGATTCCCGGGACAAACGCCCTAAGCTCGAGCTCAACCGCCGCCAACGACGTCTCGCATTGCTACGCTTCAGAATGATCCGAGACGTATCCCAGATCAACAAGCTTTTCAGGCACGTTGTGTTGAAAGTCTTCCGACCAGACTTTGAAGTCTTCCACCGTGGCCGGGCAATCGCTCTCGCTGTAGTGCTACTAGATATCGATGCCTTTGCTTCATGCCATGCGGTCATCTACCAGCGATCAAGACTAGGTGTTGCCTCTTTCATTGCACAATTGACCGAATTGCAGCCTGAGTTCCAGAACATTCATCTAAGGATGCGACCCCACTCCTTTGTGTATGCTTTTACTGGTGGACGCGGCTCCAGATACTGCAATCCCATGGCGGAACTTCTTGCGCTCAAAGACATCACTCTTGACGAGGACTGCAGGACCCCGGAATCTCTGCGACGCAACCGGCTTTACAGGATGTTGAACCCCATTCCACGCAACGCGAAGAGACTTCAAGTCATGGAGAAGTCTCTGGGACCCCAATTCTACCCACTCTGGATGCCGTACTTTAACCCGCGAGGCGTGCGTATGTTCGTAAACTTTTGCGACACACCGAAAACACAGTTCGAGCTAGTTTCTACCTTACGGGGCCTGCGAATTCGAGGAGTGTAGCGAGGCTGGATAGCAAGACGCACCATTGGCTCAGCGTTGAGTCAGAACGATGTACTAGCTGGGGGTTTATGGATGTCTTCGACATTGGCTAGGGGCTACTCTATCGGAATGGGCGGTGGATGTTGAAGGTGTCGGATTAGCCCAGACACCTTAGAGACGCTGGCGGTGACCTTGGTCGGCTTTTAGCATTGGTACCACTACATACTTATTGAACCCAGACCTGACGTATGCTTTTCCATTAATCTGGGTTATCGTCTGGTCTTTTGCTATTGTGTTTTCTTTAGTAGTCGCATTATTCTTACTTGGCCCGATTGCTATGACTTAATCTCAGTCGAACACTTTGTCTCTTTTTGGTCCGGGCTGGAAATGTCCTGGCAGTAAGTTAGGTTTACGTTCAATGAGATGCAGTAGATCAAAGCAAGATAAATGTGGATGAGAGCTGTTAGTGCTCAGTTATATTCAAGATTGTATGTACTGTCCACCATCTTCCCGACATTTAAGGGACCACCTTGCTCAGAAGACAAAGTTCGCGGCCACACCCTTGACCAAGTTCTGGGCGAGAAGCTTATGGATAGCCAGGCCGGCGTGATAGTTGTCGGCCCAGATGCAATCACTGGAGCCGTAGCAGGTAGCATCCTTGGCGCCGTATTGCGCAAAATTCTCGACAACGGTGTCGAACGAGGGCTTAGTGTCAAAGACGAGACCCTTGACGCCGCTGTTGGCGGACTTGAAGGTGGCGAGGCGGGTCTCGAGGGCGGCGTTGTACGAGGTGATGTCGGAGCGCAGGCGGGCCAGGTCGGTCTCGGACTGGCCGATCATGGCAGGAATCTGGTCAGAGAAGGCTGGCAGAGGTGTGTTAGAACCAAACAAGTTGAAGAGGAGGTTGGTTTTGGGGTGTAACGTACGAGGCACGGAGAGCAGGACAAAGTTCTTCAGACCGTCATCGGCAAGAGTCTGAAGGAGCTCAAAGTAGCGGTCCATAATCTTGGTGACGGGTGCAGACACCTTATCCCAGAACGGCTCACCGACATCGTTGATGCCGATCCAGACAGCGACGAGGGCGTTGTTCTTGTTGACGGCGCTTGACACGTACTGCTTGTACTGGTCGACCTGGTCGTCGACGCAGTACTGGGCATAAGTGTCAACGATATCCTTATCGGTGGTGGCGCCGGTCACGGCAAAGTCGTAGGTCAAGATGGTGGATGTGTTGAGAGTGCTTGTGAGATGGCCGACCCAGTTCAGACCGCTAGAGGTGGTCTGGCCGGGCAGGGAGGGGTTGCCGAGCGGGTTTCCGGCAGCCGGGAGGGTGCCGCCGGGCCAGAAGCCGACAGTGGAGTAAGAGTCGCCGCTACAGGGAGGGCATCCGAGTCAGATGGAGCTCTCTTCCTCTCTTATCATTCCGCAGATATGGATGTACGGAACGGGTAGCATGCGGGTGACTTACAAGACAATCAAGTTCTTGGAGCTGTTGGTCTGTCTCGGGAAGACGGCCGGGGTGGGACTGGCAAAGGACAGGGACAGGCCGGCTGCCAGGGAAAGGGCTTGGGTGAAGGACTTCATTTTGGACCAGGGATTGTAACGTTATGTACCAGCAAAATATCAACAATGAGAAGGATAGTGAATAGGAAGAATGAGAAGCGAATGAGAGGTTGAGAAACCGTGCAGGGAACACCAACGAGAGACGGGACGACTGTGAATAGTACAGGTAAACAGTTCAGACGGCCGGCTCGCGTGGGACGCGTGGTGCTTTACATATTATACCAGCGGCTTGGCTCCCCCTTCCACCCGTTGACCAAGAGCAAGAGAGTTCGGCACCAAGGGGCTCTTGATCAAAAAGACTTCGTCACTCTGCGTTTGCAGTACATTGAATTCCCCATACTCGGCCAACGTGCCTTTCAATGCGATTGGTGGAACTCCCAGTTGAAGCTCGGGCCTGGGCGGTGCAAATTCCAAAAGGGGCGAGATTGCAGGCGCTCCGCTGGGGCATGCGGGGCCGAAGCGCGCCATCGGGCTCCTTTTTGGTGTTTGAACTCGACAGATGTTGCGGTTAGCCGCTGCATCTCGGTCTCTATTTGGTCTGCTGGTGCCGCTGACTTTTGTGGTCCGGATCTGGCAGGTTTCCTATTTGGACGAGTTGCCAGCTTGAGGTTGTTAAACTTCAAAAGGCTTTGGCGCGAGTTGAAGAGACAAAACATATGCTCATCCCCGCGTTGGAGTCACCATCTTTAAGTTTCAACCTCAGCACATTAGTCCCCACAACGCTGAGCGAAGCTTCCTCCAGGCATCTGCATAACTCCAGATCAAAGTATGTGATGGAGATTCAATGTTCGCAACCTGATGAAGATAATGCAGTGGAAAAGTTTTGCAGTTTTGCGAAAAGTCTTGCAGTTTTTATTCGCTAAACTCCTGTACCCTATTGATGTACGAAGAAAGGAAAATAGAGTGACTTCTACACCCTGCAACAGGGTTCCTCCGTAGTCATCTAGAACGCGGGGTTGGCATTCTCCAACAACTGCACAAAGTACTCTTGGAACCAAGTTCCGGCTTCCGGGGCCGGAATCACAGAGGATGCAGAGCTGCACTTCTCATCATAGCGAGCCGCAGTCGAATCGCTCGTACCATCAGCTTCACCGCCGGGCTTGACCCAGACAAAGGCATCCAGTGTATCGATGCCAGTCTTGACGTTCGGTCTCGTGCCGAAGCCAGTCTCCTTGATGTTGCACCAGTCACCCCAAATCTGGCGTCCGGTCGGCTGCTTGCCGCTGCGGCCCTGGTCGACGAGGTAGTTTGCCGGGTACCCAGCCTCCTTGAGGAACGGCGTCAACGCGGCATGGAACTTGGACTCGTCCCACTGCTTGTTGCTCTCTGCGTAGGCGGGGGCGCTCGTCAGGTTCCAGCCGTTGTAGTTTGACACGTTTGTGACCAAGCCACGAACTGCCTTGGGAGAACCGGCCTTCTTGTATAGTTCGCTGTAAAGCTCGGCAGTAGGCTTCAGGTTCGCTTCCCAGCCCAACCATCCTGCATGGCCCGCATCCACGTAGATTGCGACGTTGTCGAGGTTGAGGGTCTTGAAGGCGTAGTCGGTGCCTTCCTTGTACGCATCGGCTGCGCCAGTGCACTTCGCCACGTTCATGTTGGTGATGAGATTGGCCAATCCATCGGGTTCTGCTCGTCATCAGCATACCATAGACGTAGAGCCCCAGATAACGTCCCAGGAACTTACCATAGACGAAGACTTGGCGAACATCCGAGTACTCCTTGGCAAGCGCGGCAATAGGATCGATGTACTCTTTCTTGTACTTCTCAACACCGCCGTCGGCAATCACGAGCTCGCCTGCGGAGGCCTTGGCAGAGCAGTCACGGTCCGGAAAGTTGTAGATGACATAGGTGCCAGCGTACGGCGGGTTGGCGCCCTCCTGGTTCAGCTTACGGATCTGCGCCAGAGTGCTGTTCATCAGACTAATCTTCTCGCGTGTATCACTGCGGTTATCAGCAGACGCTCGTAAAGTATGATGGCCCTAGGGCCTGGCTCAGAACACTAACAGCCATGCGAATGTGGGCACCTCGGCGACCTTGGCTGCCTTCGCTGCGAGATCTCCGGTGAGCTTTGGGACGGCGAGGTTCGTGATCTCATCTGTGTAGTAGGGGTTGGGGAAGAGTTGTCTGTCCGCCAGCGGGTTTCCTTCGTACGATGCGACGTCGCGCAGCTTGAGGGGAGTAGCCAGTGCCGCGGGCGCAAGCGCTGCAGCGAGCAAAAGGTGTGCGACAACCATCCTCAAATAATGAGCGTGGAAATGGGGGGAATGAGAAAAGAATGTAAGACCCAAATAAATGGTGCGTGATGAGCTATCGTACCGGCGACTTACAGCGAGATGGACATATCTCCCTTCTTATACATCACCAGCTATTGCGCCAAGCTGGGTACTTAATCTTCAACACCGGAGTTTGTTATTGAATCACGCCAGTAAAGCAAGGTCCAAGGGTTCCGAAAACGCATCGGTCCTTCATCTTAGAGGCGAATCCCCCAGATGTCGGGACGATCGCAGAGGTTCTCCGTGCCGAGCTTTCTAAGTTTCTGAGGTTACTTTTTCGGCCGTGTGAGATACACTGCGGCCGGGGCTCGCCCGGCGGGGATGATGCTTGGAACGCGGCCCAGTGCATTGGCGCCGAGCCGTTAGGACCTGGCGAGTTTTCTGGAATGGGCAAACTTTGGGGTTTGCTGCACAAAGCTGGACAGGCGGGCAGCCTAGGCTATGAAGATCGTACGGAGAGTTTGGCTCCGAAAGACCACGTGAAGTCGGCTCATCCTCCTCAACAGTCAGGGGTGCCGGCAATGCTGGCCGCTCATGTTCTCGAATCTCTCCAGTCTCCGCATGGTTCGGATGACAATATTCGACTAGGGAATTTACTGGACTCGAAAGGGTGAATTTGGGGGCCGCCAGATTGATTAAGGGGAGAATTGCCTCCAGGCAAGGTGACCTGTTTCAGAAGGGTGCCCTTGTTCAAGATGAGATAACTTTGTTAGTTGGAGAAAACCTTCTTTGCTAGAATAAAGTGAGGGGAGGGAGAATCATCTGTTCTAGCGCCCTGATTGTGGGGGCTCCCACGGCACTTGACTCAATGACGGATGGCTACGTAGCATCTTTGATGCGGAAGAGTTGAGCCTAAATAGTCCGCCAAATAACTCTGAGGAGGTAGCGCCATATTGAGGGCGTTTGACCCCTCTCAACTAAGAATCGCAGAGTTGAGCTGATGTTGAGCTCGTCAACGTGTGCCACATCGTTCATCTTATAATAGTTGCTCTCTTGGAGGAGTCAATTTGTGTATGGATACGATCATTCTGTTTCTATCCGTACCGTATGTGTTTTTCTAGGGTCCTACTTTAGATCGCCTCCCTGTTCGGATGACTTGCCCATATCTCCCCTTCCTGATCGACAAAGTGACACAAGCGCACAGGTCACACCTCATGCCGTGCGGTCTACCTTTGGTACCGAGAGTGCCGGGGAAACGTCCAGCCAGCAACTCATGGTTGCAGTTGAAGGTGCCTTGTTCACGCAGCTTGATATTTACATAGGCCCGTTGTTGAAGGGCATGCTTTCGTGAAGTAGACTACGCGAATCGGCGCGGTGCTGACATTGAACACTTGTAAGACCATGAAGCACAACCGATGCCTCAGAGCGCCTCGCTAACGCTTAAGGGACAAGAGAAGTTTGCACATGTTACTTTGAGGATAGATATCGATGGCTCATTTAACCCAGAAGCGGATGTAATGTAAAACGAAAAATGACACGCTCAACAGGGCTCTCGCTTTTTCCAGCTATCCTAAGAAAACTCTTGGATCATGCCTTGAACTCGATGGCCGTACATGGATCGACTTCACCATGACATTGAGCGAAAGAGCAATGGAACGAAATTCAGGCTTATCGATAAGAACCTGACTCGCTTGGAGGGCTCGGTCGTCAATGTCCCCAAACCGGTGAAGGCGGAGGTTCGGTGGGGCTTTTAGAATGATGATCCTGATCCAACACTTCATGATACAGAAATGAGCTGGGTTTCGTGTAATCAGTAAAAGCTCCTCAATCAGACTCAAAATTGTATCGTCTTTTTTAACGCAGACAGGTAAATAGCGAGCTTGCACGGATGAAAGGACCTTTTTATGACGACTTCCACGACAATAAGTTGAAATCATTGCTTGAACTTTGTTTTCCGTGCGCTTCAAGTTAGCAGCTAACAACTTCTTGAGTCTCGATTCAATCGTGCGATCCTGCGGGACTCCTTGAACATTGAACGAATCGGGCTGAAATCTTCATCCCACGGTCACACCAGTCAACCGGGCAATACAAGTAGATGCATTGATGATGACTTCTCCGCGGTGACTTACGTGGCAAATGGTTGCTTACTGAGATCCAGGAAGAATAAGAAGCAAAGTGGACTGAATCGGAAATGAAATGGGAATATGGCCTTGTCTCGCCACGTTTTGCCTCTTGAAAGACTTGAATCCCCTGGTTGCCATTCGCTCAAGCCAGGGCATGGCGTGGACGACTGACCACTTGAAAGGAACACATATCAGCCTCTGGAAGGCGACCGAGCCCATGGTGCCGGACCATTGCCTTCCCAAGATCACTGGCCACCAAGTGGAAGTGTTTTGCATCATCCCGCCGGTGGTACATTCACTTTGTCAAGTTTTTCAACGGTCCTTTGTGATTCGTTCGTTCGCTGGGCTAGCTCAATGTTAGTCCCGGAGTTCCGCACCAGGCCCCTCTCCGCCGGCCGAGTTCACTTGCCTACGATGGGAAAAGATAAGATGATCGGATCCATCTGATTAGATTTAGCAAAAGACAGGGCCCATTTAGCGCTACTCCTTCGAGGCTCACTACAGTCTACCACGAATTTTTGTGCATTTGTGACCAGATCCGTAAGTACATAGTTCCGAAGAATCTCGAGTTAGACACACCACCAGCATCGTGGGTCCCGATGATCCCTGCCTCCCCTGTTCAACGGCGGCTGCGAATTCTCTAGTTTTGGGCCAGATTTTTATTTTGCCCAAAGTGCCAAGTCATACAGCTAGCCGGAGCAGCACGGCAGGTATCGTAGTGAAGTCCATCTAAGGACGGTTGCTAGCTCATACGAGACTACATATACATATACCCCCAATGACTCTTGCCACAAAATCTAGTACTACCTCAATTCTCATCCGAACAGACCTTCATCTCTCATTCATCCAGCCCAGGTCGCGTGCTGCGATTCGCGAATCCTCAATATGAGTAACACCAGAGAGTCGGGCGTCTTGTCAGACGACGTCCACATCCCCAAAGATGGCACAATCTCCCCCTCAACAGATCGTGAAGAGCCTCAGATTTCTTCTGTCGGGGAGATCCTACAATCCCAAGGTGTCACTCGCATGGAGGCAGTCTACCGCGAAGCCAAACAGAACCGCATCTCCCTCTACCTCGTCGGACTTTCCGTCCTCGTCTGCGCCTGGGCCTACTCCCTTGATAGCTCGACAACCTCCTACTACAGCATCGACGCCTCGTCCTACTACAAACAGCACTCATCCGTACTATCGACCCTCTCGATCGCCACGAGCATTATCTCGGCTGTCTCGAAGCCCTTCATTGCCAAGATTTCTGACATCACATCACGCCCGTACACTTACATCGTCACTCTGCTTTTCTACGTCATCGGATACGTTATCGCCGCCTCGAGCACATCAATCTCAGCCTACGTCGTGGGCGAAGTCTTCGTCTCCATCGGTTCTTCCGGCCTCGACCTCACCAACGATATCATCGTCGCTGACCTTACCCCCTTGGAATGGCGTGGCTTCGTCAGCTCTTTGCTCTCGGCCCCCTTTATCGTCAACACCTGGTTCGCCGGCAAGATCGTTGACGCGATGCAAGCTCGGAATCAATGGAGATGGGGGTATGGCATGTTTGCCATCATCATGCCCGCCGCTCTCGGCCCTGCGATCGCAACGCTATTGTACCTCGACAGGAAGGCGAAAAAGGACGGCATCGTCAACCTCGCCTCTTCGAATGCGGCGCGGCGTGCTGCGAGAGAGATGGCTGATGAGAAGGGTTATGATGGACCGCGTGGTGCTATTGTGGCTCCAGCCGCTAACCCTGCTGGCACTTGGATGGAAGGCCTCAAGCGCAACTTGGTCGAGATCGATGCGCTTGGTCTGATACTCTTGGGCTTCGGCTGGAGTTTGCTGCTCTTGCCATTCAGTCTCAAGACCTATGCCGAACATGGTTGGAGAAATCAGTCGCTCATTGCCATGATGGTAGTGGGAGGCATCTTGCTCATTGCGTATGTGGTTTATGAGATCAAGTGGGCCAAGGTACCAAGCGCACCTCGTAGACTGGTCATGAACAAGACATTCTTGATGGCCATTGTCATCGACTCTTTCTATATGTGTAAGTACCAGCCGCCAGTCCCTTTTGGAGATCAACTATGTTGATTTTGCTAACAACATCACTCAGTGGCTGGCAACATGCGCGGATTGTACTGGTCATCTTACGTCTATATTGCGAAGCCTTGGTCCTCGCAAGATTGGGTGTACTACAACAACACGCTAACACTTGCGCTCTGCATCTTTGGCATGGTCGCAGGTCTGCTTCAGCGGTGGACTCACCGTTACAAGTTGCTGCAGATTTTCGGCCTCTGCATCAAGATCATCGGGATAGGCATCATGATCGATGGCCCTCGAGCCACCAACTCCACCGCCCCGATGGTCATCTCACTGATCATGGTCGGTGCTGGCGGTGCGTTCTCGGTCGTCGGCTCTCGTGTTGCATCTCAGGCTTCCGTGCCGCACCAAGACGTTGCGCTAGCCATCGCCTTGCTTTCCCTTTGGTCAAAGATTGGCAGCTCCATCGGCAGTGCCATTGTTGCTGTCATCTGGGCTGACAAGATGCCCAAGCTCTTGCGCGAATACCTCCCCGCAACCGCGACTGACAAGGACGTCAAAACCCTGTTCGGTAGCGTCCGCACTATTCGCACCAAGTACGCCTTCGATGACCCGATGAGACAGGGCGCTATCGAGGCGTACCGTCGCACCTTGTACTACTGCCTGGTGCCAGCTTTAGCTCTCGCATTCGTTCCCCTTATTGCTGCGCTCTTCCAGACCAACTTCTATCTGGGCAAGCAGCAAAACGCTGTCACCAACGTTGGAAACGATGGCCAAGTTTTGAAAGAGGAAGACCGCAACCCGGAGGCTTTACCGCCACCAAAAAACAAGACGGAGGCTTTCTTGAGGTTCTGGGCTGGACACAAATGATGACAATGCGCCTGTAGGGATTCTCATAACTGAGGCTATGAGACTGTATGGAAATCATCCCGAATATTATTCTTCCGTCCACGAAACCACAATTCAATACTTCAGATGTTGAATCAGATGTGGAAAAGCTGCTTCCCAATGTGCTTCAATACTTGAGCCGTTGGAACCCCCTGTTATTTGTGCTGTTTCCCGAACCCTTGTCAATGTAAGCACGGATAGAGTACCAACGCCAAGTCGCAGACTCTTGCTTCTAGAACATCGGTCCGACACAATCAGCTGCTTTTGTCTCTTGTCTAGCAAGGCCAAGCCTTCGCAATAGGTTGCCAAGGACAGAATGCGTGGTCAGAAAGCTTGGGCAAATAGGGCAAGCTCATCTACAACATGCACAAGCGTTGCAGTCGCCATAATCTTGAGCGTTACCAACACGGGCGGGTAGGATTTGACAAATAAACCTTTTCCGCCACTCTGGATTGAGTCTTTACTGGAGAGCCTTGATCACTGTCAACCAATCTCATCCAGCCGGTTCTCGCTTGTCCAACTCAAGCTTTCCAACATGGCGCAAGTCCTTACCCTCATTGGGTTATGAAGGCAATTGTGGAGGGGCGCCTTCGCCCGACTAGATCGTTGTGCAACCGCCCACGTGCCGTTCGAAGCTTTGGGGGCGTCCCAGCCGCCCGGCGCTAGCTGCTGTTGTAAGAATGCGCCCGTATCGATGCACAGCAATTGGTGCCTGTTTTACCCAGTCTGCCTAGTCGCCCTGGAATGAAGCGATTCCGGGGCTGAATCGGCGGTTGATCATAAGGCAAAGAGGACGGGAACCTCGCATGACGTGGCCTGGAGTCTCACAAAAGCCCAAGGAGATAAAGCTTGCTCAAGTCCAAAACTACTACCTTCATCTCGAATTTGCATAATAAGAGCCCAACTATACAATGGCATGGTCCTCCAGACCGTAGACGTAAGATCAAGCATTTAGCCTGGCAAGAAAGTCAACGAGTTCTACCCCGCATTCCCCCACACTCACCCCTGATCTGATCGCCACTCCATCGCTCCCGAGCAAGAGAGCGAGACCGCCAACCTCACGATGCCCTCCTTTTTCAAGAGGTCCTCCAAGGCCAAGGAGAAGGAGGCTGAGGAAGAAAAGGCTAAGGCAGGCCGCCCAGCAACACCTCCTCCGGCCTACGGCACCGCACCGGACGAGCCTCCGCCCTTCGAGGATCAGCCACCACCATTCGAAGCAAACGGCGGGCCCAATGGGAAGAGGCGGCACACCGACCAGGATGTCGCCAATCTTACCAGCGCCTTCAACTCACTACGGCTAGGCACCCAGAGAGATCCGGACGTGGACTCCTGCCTCGCGCACCTGAAGCTTCTTTATGCCATTGAGACGCTGAAGGAGGATGTCGGGTACAGCGATGGTCTATGGGACTTGTGGGATTCGCGAGCCGGCCCTAGGGATGGCGATGAAGGCTCCAGCAAGGGAGGTGAGGAGCGAGTGAAGGAAGTGCTGTCAGCGCTGCGCGAAAAGAGGTGGGCGGTCTATCTGGCGCGGGCGGCGGATCGGTATCAGACTTGGTGGAAGACGCTCTCGGGAGGTCGCTTGCGTGAAGCAGAGATGAAGGATTTCGAGACGTGTTCCGACAAGTACTTGAACTTTCCTGACGGGGGCGAGGACTTTCCCTGGACAGTGAATAATCTTCCACCACTAGGTAATTGGTGCATTTGAGTCTGCCGAAGGTTTGGCAAACATCTAACCGTGATCAGATGTCCTGATAATGTTCCATGCGCACATGCTGAATCCCAGAGCGTTTCTGGAGGACACTATGCGCTGGAATCTCCGCGATTTCTGGACGACGGGAATGCCGTGGGCCCAGGTCAATCAAGTCATTGACTCCAAGTTCAACTACGAGGTTTCCGATGTGGCCAAGTCGAACTGGGAAAAGGCAACAGGGCGAGCGTGGAACAACCTCGACGAACCACTGGACAAGGAAATCGAATGCCCTGCATGCAAACAGATTACTCTTGTGCCTTGGAGCACTTGCGGCTTACCAGAGATGTACAAGGGTCAAGAGTACGTTCAATGATAGACGAGATTCCATTCGCCCTCGTGGAGTTTGCTGACCTTTTTGTCAAAGGCGGCCAGGTTTGGTTGGAAAAGGATACGGCGATGGCGACTTCTCTCAACTATGCACAGCAGGCTGCAATACCGTCATCACGCATCGTCTACTCTGCGTTGCCAAGATGATCAATGACGCGGAGCTCTATCTCAACGAAGGTGTAACTCTCCCGAGCACCATCCTAGACCCAAAGGTCGGCATGCCAGTGGCTACCGAGGCAAAGCTCAAGGATGTCACGTACCCCAACAGACTGATTGGGCAAGGGATTTCCGCGCAGCTGCTACGTCTCATCAGTCCCGGTCAAGCAAAGACGCCGACGATGAAGGATGTACGAGACCTGGTCTCTGCTGCACTGGCTGATGACGACGCCTTTGCGAGAATACAAGGGACAAGACCAGCCCCTTATGACAAGAGAGACGGGTCAGGCGGGAGAGTAATCACACGAACGGAACGCTTTCAGAGCCGCAAGATGATGTCGAGGTACTGGGAAAATGCGTCCATCTTCGCGCTCGACCTTGTTGGAGCGACGATGCGACAGGGGGTGTTTATTGGCAAGATGTTCAACGTCAGTATCCTGACTGATCCTCCCAGCCCCTGAGAGTGCTGACAAGAGTTCTTTGCAGATCGACTGGCTACACAGCCCCAGTGCGAGAGGTACCATGGATCGGCTTCTTCAGAAGTACCAACGCTTCATGCTCATCATGACCGAGTATCCCATGTCTTTTACGGTACCTACGCTGGATGTGGACCTTGCCTGGCATACTCACCAGTTGGCCCCGAGAGCGTACTACAAGTTTTCAACATACAACACCGCCATGAGTACCAGCAAGGAGGCCAAGTTCATTGACCATAATGACAAGATCGACGAAGACCAGCTGTCCAACTCGTTCGAGTTGACTAGCAAGACTTACTTGGAGAAGTTCAACGAGGTCTACTCGGAATGCACATGCTGGCACTGCGAAGGTCTGTTCAATGCTCCTCGGAGTGGCTTGATCCATCCCGTTTCATAATCAAGAACTCTTGCTAACGATGCTGAACAGCTGTACGCGCAAAGATCACAATCGACAGCTCCTCCGTCTTTGGCAAAAGCAAGCCGCAAAAAGGTATTTCAATGAACAGCACCCCTGCGCAAGGTCCAAGATACTGACACCCCTACCTCCAGCCATCGACAGTTTCGACAAAGCAACAGCCTCGCAGGTCTGCACCCCATCCAACTCGGTCCACATCTCTGCCCACAACTCCGTTCGCACAGACGGATCCGCTACTCACAACATAGCGCATCGCCAGCTCCGCGCAGCTTGGAGGATGCGTCTCGACGACGCCTACGAGCGAGCAAAGAAGCGCGCAGCAAAGCGAGGAAGGACGCTGCCACCGAAAGAGGAGTTCTACAACAACTGGGGCAAGACGCACCATAGAGATAGTCCCTACAACTATCCCGCGTACCTCATTGGAGGGGTCTATCCTGCTGGGAACCCTGGTGTCCTTCATGGGTCTTGGGCCGACTGCGCTCAGGGACTATGCGGCTCGAACGATATCGCTGCTGGGGGATGTGGCGGCCCTGGTGGTTGTACCAATATGGCTGTAAGTCGTTTATCTTCATGCATCTCTCAAGTTGAGTGTCTAATATGGTGGTCTGATATCAGGGGTACTGGTCTGGAGCAAGTCGCCAACTCGGCGGTAAGTTTTTCTTCCTTCTCGTCGCCTTCTTCATTACAAGCTCTGACGTCTCTCGATCGACAGGCTGCGCTCCTGGAGCGGGAATAGTGGGCATAGGTTCGGGTGGAGGATGCGGCGGTGGTGGTGGTGGATGTGGTGGTGGCGGCGGTTAAGCTAGATCCAACACGAAGTCAAGCTTCATTGTCTTGATCTACGTTATCTCATTACTTACTATAGCTCAAGCCTTTATAGTGACAATCTACTTGACTATGTCACACTAGTCGCCCTTCTCTGTGTAGTGCTCTTGATTAACATAGCCGACGTTCGACCATAACAATGATAGCAGAGCAAACAACACAACATAACTTTCAATAAGAATTATAAAAAAAGATTGATGGTCAATTGACCAGAGGGTGTTTCCAAATATTTATCAGGCACGTAGTACCGAAACCGGATCTCAAACGCCCGCAGCATCTGAGGCTTTGGGCACAAGAAACCACTGCCAAAGGTCGCACTTTGGTCAAATGTCACTCTGTCTTAAATACGTCCAGTGGTTTCGGTAGTTTTTGCGCGACGACCGAGAATCGAACTGGGGAGTATCGATTTCTGTTAGACAGATAGCCAAGAGACTCACCTCTCAGCCACCCGGCCGCCCTGATGGAAGAACGAGGACCTTTTCATAATGAAGTAGGTCACGCGGGCGTCAGGAGGTGAAGGGAAGGAGCGAGGGTGAAAGGGGTGGGTCAAAAAGGTGAAGTGAATCACATCTTTCTCTCACTGCTGGCGCGTGGCGGGCGGTGAGACGCGAGGTGGTTTGTTGACGCGCACCTGCACTCTATGGTGATACTTCACTCTCACCGACCTTCACCGAGGGCGGCTGTTTTTCATGATTCTCAACCTACCCAACCTTACTATCTCAAATTTTCACTACTACAACCACAGCAGACCTTTCTTCGATACCCTTTTTATCCACACTCATCATCACGACTTGTCATCCACTTCTGCACTTTATCCCATCTCTGGATCTCGTCCGAATTCTCATCTGACACAATCACGTTCTCTCGTCTCTTAACAATGTAAGTTGAGTGATTCCATCTCTTCTAACTATCAGATTTCTAACTTCACACAAAGCTTCACGATGTCTCAGTCGCAGTTGCCCATCATTCAGCCAGCTGTTGATAGCTCAGGCGACCAGGAGAACAAGCAGAAAAACAAGCCCAAGCCCAAGACCTTGAAGAAGGTGCTTCCTTCCGGCCCAGGCTTTCAGATGTACCAGAACGCAGCCGTAGAGGAGCTCAAGATCCTCGAGGATGTGAACGAGGGCATGGCCTTCAAGACTGCTCTTCGCGCCGTCTCCCCCAATTTAGAGAAGAAGGCCATCGACAGAGCCATTGCCCAGGTCTTCATGAACGCCGACAGACTTTCATCTCACAAAGCCCACATTACCGAGACCATCTCGGGTCTCCTTCTTCTTGCCGCCAAGGAAACGGATTGGATCATTGCCGCCAAGAAAGAGATGAAGCCCACCGTCGCTGCCAAGGTCCTGACGGCCCTTTACGAGGGTCGAAGAATCGCCGTCAAATTCTCCCGCTACCAACAACACCCGATCGAGAAGTACGAGGACGAGACTACGACTGCCCTCGCCATCGACAGGTTCCGCAACGAGAAGCCCTGCGACGAGCCCGAGGAGATCTTTGCCGACTTCACCGATGAGCAGCGCAAGAAGATGATGGGCAAGATCATCCGACGTGAGAAGGCCGACTGGGATGGAGCGCACGTGGATGAAGACAGTGACACCGAGATGGGTTTGGACGACGCCAAGGACTTTGAGGAGGCGCACAAGGCAGCCCCCTGAGGCGGAGCTTCAGGGGGCCCTCGAGCAGAAGATGAAGGAACTCGGAATCGCGGGCACCGCTGGTTTCCTGGCTTAGATAACGAATGAAGGCCCCTTTCCATCGTATCGAAACCAATGAGATCAACAAGCAAGACCCAGGTTTCCTCGTCATTTCTCTTGCCTAGGTAGTTAGGTGAGAGTAAGCCAGAGGCCTAATGAGAAGCATATTGGTAGGGGTGAAGGAGACGAGGCCATACCACAAATACTGGCGGCAAGCAGGTCTATTGAAATTGAGGAATGGCTTTCAGAATGTCAGTTGCTTATTACAGCGGCGCAAAGATCATGTCTACCGAGATCCCTTTTCTTTCTAGGGTTCAAGGGTACAAAATACTACCATTGGATTTCGCCGAGTAAGGTAACACTACGACAAAGGTAGCGTCAATGAATCTTCTCCCTTATCCTACATTTCGCCCGTAATGAATCTCCTTGCCTCGATACTCTCTGCATCTAACACCTATGATAGCTAATTCTTCTTGTCTCCCTTCCCCTTTGATGCCGCTGCTGAAGCCGCATACAGTCGGTCTTGGACTGAATCAGTGTTCTGAATGAAGATATCCAACTGAGGAGCCGGTGAAGGCTTGGGGGGTGCAGGTGTGCTTTGTTTCATGTAAGCCACTTAGCAGTAAGTATATTTTTGAAGATGAACTTGCGAGCTGGGCATTTTGACTCTCGAGTCTCCAACAGACTCCCCTTTAGTATGGAGGGTATTGTTCAGATCTTGATGATGTGTGGCCAGCAGTTTGACCTTTGTTCAAAAGTATGTCACTCAAGTAGTAAATTATGGCTAGGGTACTGGTCTCGGATCGTGTTTTTCTTTGCTCTTCTCTCTAGTACTATCCGCTCCCTCGTGGGACTTTGGCGGGTATTTATAATTGCTAGAATTTGCATCTTCCGCCCCGAAAGACCAAGGTCTCTCAAGTTCTCTCCAAAGCTTCTGGTCTCTCATTTGATCTACAAGATGGCTTACGAACTAATTCCTAATCGCTGATCAGCTGGTTATCTTCAAGCTTCGTGTGTGATACAACCCCACGGCAACACAACCTTCCACCGTCGCTCAACTCCACTCTTCTGCGGCCGGAACAGGCCCAAACCGCCGAGCACGACCGGCCCCGTTCTGCCGCCTCCAACCGCCAGCTACACGGGGGTACGTAGCCAACCACGACGTCCCAGACCCCGGTCCTTGAGGCTCTGCTACTGTCTCCATGAGTTGGCGCGCCGCTCCATGTTCCCATCACTCTACCATCATCCCTGCGGCGGTTGGCTATTCTGCAGCTTCCCCCACCCCCTTCGTCCCGCCTAGTACATGATGGGCGCCATGGGCCGGCACGAGGACGGGCGGTAGACGGCTCGGGTGCAGATGCTCTTCGGCTAATGTCTTTCACGACTACACAGTATTATCAGGCTCTCGCCTCTTTTCACTGCTTTCTAGGGTATCATCCAGTACTCCTCCTTCTTCTGACCTCCTTGTCAGCTACCTCGTCCGAGTCTTATCCACTTGCTCCCTCTGTCCTCACTTTGAGTCTAACGCATGTCAGGGACCCTACTCTCAGAGACACGTATGCAACCTCCTTGGACACCTGAAAATTGCATGAGATGGTGCAACGGAAGCCATGTATGTGGTTCATGAATTCGGTGCAAAAAACAGTAATTACTATCTGGATTACTGAGCGATATCATCCGCTCCGCGGTCATCTCTTCAATATCTCATAGTCCCTTGCCCACGACTAGCAGATCTCAATCTCAAGGGCAGACAGAATAGGGTGACATGTTCCAACTCCAAAACAAGAGGGTATCAGAAAATTCCACATTGTTTCCCTACTTCCTGATCTCAGTTAGATCCATGCTGGGAGCTCGCCACGGAACCTTCAACCTGTCGTGCTCACTTTTTCGCACCTCCCATGGCAATATAATCAGTCACGCTGGTGGTGTTGATGTAGTCACCAAGCGGGGTTTGTTCAGATCCCCTATCATTAGTTTAGTTGGTATTCTCTCAAAGCATGTCAAGTCGTCTCAATATATCATGGAGGAGCATACTCAGGCATGATGAAAGAAGGGTGAATCAAGAGTTGGTATCAGACTTGGGTGGTGGCTCGGCCACGGAACTTGGAAAGTATTTTGAATGAGATTGGAAGTTTGTACGTTTCAGGAAGCCCAGCTTCGAGTAGTTTGGTATGGTTTGCAGTGAAACTATGCATGTCGAGATGGGAGACATCTCTGGTATTTATAACTTCACTTTCCGAGCAGCATCTCCAAGACAGATAGGTCACTCTTGTCTCTTTTGGATCTGATTTGATACTCACTTTCATGCAGTTCATCGGGCAGCATGGCATAGCTTACGAGCCAATTCCTAATCTATGGACCCGGTCATCTGCTCCCTCCACAAAGCACGCGTTACGTTCCACTCTCAGAGGGTATAGATGCTAGTTCACCCCCTCCCGCGGCCGCACCTGAGACCCTCAAGCCCGCAAGCGACCTCCTCCACATGCCGTTCCACCCGCCGCAAACCGCCAGACGGTCCGTACGGGAGAAGGATGGATCCATAAGATTGTCCAACCACACCGCTCGAGATCCTGTGAGCTTTGCGGCTCTGCGTATATGTCGTAGCTTGAAGACTGTCCTTCTATACCTCGAAGAGTCGAATCCTTCTCTCGGTGCCGGAGTCCTGATTGGCTCATCGATACATCTTACCAACCCTCTCCCACCCTTCGGATGAAGCTGCGATAGGCGTAGGTGCCACGGATAATCGATCGGCTCATGGGAACATCAGAACGACGGAACTCGGGTAAGGGAAGACGGGAAAGGTGACTGACTATCCTTGCAACGACACCATAGTATCAGCCCTTCGACCTTCCTTGCACAGCAGTTTAGCGCTAAAATCCCTGGTCCCCCTCCATCTGCACTCTCTTTCTCTCTCTCCCTCTTCCTCACCTTGACCAAATGCCATGCCCCGGCAGGATATACTAATCCAGCATAGATCCGCTGTTGCTTCTATGGCCGACATGCATGTTTCCTGCAGCCGCACCAACAACGATTCCGAACCTTCCAATCAAGAAGTCACATCCATGCAAGAAAGAGGGGTTCTCCAGGATAAGTATGTGCTTTTACTCTTCCTGCCATGGTTTTCTTTCCCATCAATTTTCAAGGGCACATACAGGGCGCCTGGTACGATGTGGTACCAGCCTGCGAGCCACTACCCGTTGCTGAGTATTATCCCTATAAGGTCAACTCTGTACGACACGAGTTTTCCTCGGACAGGCTGGTCGAAGGAACGTGTTACCATGCAGTGCAGCTTGCGGAGGTGGGTGAGGTAAGTAAAGTAGGTGAACTTGGTGTTGGCTCGGCAAGTGCGAACTCGACATCGGCGAGCCGATGATCTGCGATGAAGAGTGACAGTTACCTCACCTACCTTGTGCAGGGATATGGTTACTTCAGATGCCAAAGACAGCAGAATACACGAAAAGACCAATGGCTCCGGTTGAAAGACTGGTTTTAGATGTTTGATTCCAAAGGCCTAGATTCGATCGAAAGAACCGGTGTGACAATGCGGGACGAACAGCTGGCCAAAGATCCAATATGCGATCCATGATATACGATTGGGCGCAAACTAGGGTCGGCACTGCTTCTGGGGAGAATGTCTGCTTGGCTTACCGTCTCGAATTAACAGCCGAACGGAACTGTGATCAAATCATCAAAGAAAACGGCAGGACTCAACGTCATGATGGTATGATCTGCGTCCACGAGACCGAAGCCATCCGGGGAGATAGTCGTTCCCGATGCCACGTATGAAGAGGAGGGGGAAGAAAGCCACAAGATAATGGTCGTATGGCGTTTCTTTGGCGACCACGAAGTGACGATAGACGGACGAGGATCAAGGATGAAGGGGAGGGCGCCAGCGCCAGCGCGTGCGCGATGCAAGTTTAAGCGGTGACAGACTCTCGCGGTCTCCGAGGTCAGAGCCTCATGTTCGGGTACGAGACCAGTCGTCGAAGGTGAAGGATGTTTACGCATAAACATTGCGTATATCGCGTGGGGGAGCATTGCTGACGGGCTTGACATCGGTTCGATGTGTGAGAGAACATGAACCAAGAATGAGCATCATGGGAAACACATGTCCTACCTTCCCCACGACTGGCAGATCTCTGTGCGAGACACCAGTAAACTAGGTTTGAGCTTACCTCGAGCTTGTTCACAAGCACGGCTTAAGCGGAGTTATGCTATCAGATCATAGTATCTTGAGCCAATGATCGATCAACAGGCCAAGTTGGGGAGGGTGGTGTAATACCGGCTCCTTCTTGATAGGTATGAGGGGGGAAGAAGAAGGATGGATGGCCAGGGTGAAGGCCGCATTCACTGCGGCCCTAGAGGCTAGGAGACTAGGATCATTCTGCGTTCACCTTGGTTCCAACGCTCCTAGGATGCCTGCACTGCTGTATGTGGGGTTGCGTGTCCTTGAGCTCGGAGCAAACCACCTCTTTGAGGGTGAGGCTCTGCTAGGAGGCTCACCCTTTGGGCCGAGGAGTTCTCGGGGAGGATCGCATCCCCCAGATCCAGGCGCCTTCGACTCTCTCTCAGACTAATTTTGCTATGCAGAGGTGGTTCGCCTGGCAGGGCAGAGGAGGGGGAGGGTGTGACCGCTGCCCTGACTCGAGAACTCCTGCAACGGGTGTCCCTGGATGCCTTATTTTCTGCACAATAACTAATGCCCTTTTGCTGTCGACCATTTGGGATACATCAGATCTCATTCTTCTCATCGTTGAAAGCATTTTTTAAGGTTTTGAACGGTGGTGTGTGGTGGTAGAATGCCAAAAAAAAAAAAAAAAACCGCTGACCAGAGTCCTGGGTGAAGAGTGAGATGACTATGCGGGTGCAACACCACGAGTTGTTGTCTCTCTTTTCTGACATGTTCAGCGTCAGACCGTAATCACACGATCCTGAAGCCAGGTTAGGGAACAGCTTCTCAT